GCATTTCCAATGAACAAAATAAAGAAATGGAAGTTGGAAAAAACTGATCAATCAATCTTGACAGCTGTGCTTTACTGCCCCCGAATTTCCCTCCTCTGTTTGACCATAAATTGGCCACACCCAGTTGACATTGAAACTACCACATGGACAATAAAATGAATTTATCCCTTTTTGCGATTTTTTATTCGATTCATTAATTTTTTTTATTTTGCCGCTTTTTATTTTTTCTTGTTAATTGTTGCTTGCTTGCTTTTTTTTATCGTTATTAGTTTTTAGCTTGTTTTTTGTTGTTATTCATTGTTAGTTTCTTAGCATTTAGTTTAAAAAATTTTTTTTTGTAGTTCCCGGTTAGCTTTTTTTTTTTTCTTGCGAGGTAAGCGTCTTTTGTTAAAACAAAATGTTATCTAAAAGAAAAAACGAGAACTATGATCTCGCTCCAAAGAAGAAACAATTATTTCTTCCTCATAGGATTCTGATTATTTCTTCTTGATTATATTATATAGATTATTTTGATTAGTAAAATTTCTCTTATGATGGGCCAGTTTTAAATTCACCCCATCATAATCTATGATCGAAACTTGACTAAATTTATTGCTTTTTCTGAAATTATCAGTGGAATTGAATTATAGTAATATTTGGGGGCCATATTGGAATTTCCGAAAGAGATCCGAAGTTCGGCATTTCATCAGTCCCGTGAGTGTCGGATTTAGGGTCCTATTCTTCCTTTTCTGTTCGCTTAAATTACAATTGCTAAGGCGCTAAATAGATTTCTAGCTTGCGATTTTTCCTTAAGCTGGGGGTGGATGCAAGATGCATACCTTTTAAATTTTCTCCTTATCCGATGTTTTTTTAAAATTATTATTTCGTTTATTTATTTTCTTACAGGCTGCTGCCGAAAGTTTGCTAAGAATTGGCGATGTTCTGCAGCAGATCGCGATACGGGCGAATATTTCGTCGACTTCGTTATTAATTTTTTTTAATAGTCTTTCTCTGAGAAAATTATTTCTTAAATAACTTTCCTTGACAAATTTTTTTGTTACAAAAAAATATTTCGTCGGAAGTGCCGCAGCATCGGAAGCGCCGCATGTAGGAAAAAATACAACTTTTTTTTCGATAGCGCCGCGGCTCTTCCGCCGAAAAATACGGTATATGAAAAGTAAATGTGTGGCAATAACAATTAACATATTAAATAAAAAGAATTAAAATGTTTTGCAAATGGACTAAGATAGAAAAAAAAATTTATTTTCGTTTTTCTTCTCCAAGTCCATATGTAAAAAGAAAAAAAATACGTAAAATGTATTACTATTTTCAGGGTATCCGCGCACCTGGAAAGTCATGAATATCGGTATTGAGCAAAATTTGACATAGAATGTCATGATTTTAACTATTTTTTTAAAAAAAAAGTCATGGAAAGTCATGAATTTAGATCGCCAAAAAATCTAATTATTAAACTGGAATTTTCCCCTCCCCCAATTTCTTGGTATATTGAATATCTGAATTTGTTACAAACTCCCCACTCAGTCATATTTTATTAAAATGTAAAATGTTTTTATCATGCTCTTTAAAAATTGTGTTCTTTCAAAAAATGAAGAAAAAAACGTAATTTATAGAGCAAATCATCTTTTAAACTTCTGTGATTTCAGAATTTTTATTATTTATATTTTTATTTTATCAATTTAAAATTGTAGCTGAAGCAAGTCATTGATTGCCAAATTATTTTTATTCCAAAATGAGAACAGAAAAATCAGAAGTATTTCTTTCCTTTGAACAAGAAAAGTATCTTTAGAATATAATTCTGCGGAATAAAGAAAAAAAATTACTTTTGTATTTTTTAAGCTATTTTATTGCTTTCTCTGTTTTTTAAATTAAAAATCTATAAATAGGAAGATACAGAGTATAACAGTTTTGGTTACACCTATCATTTCAATGAATATGATGCTTTTTTAAATTTACTATTGTGTTTTTGTCGGAGAAAATACTAACTTCGTTAAGTCATGAAAAATTCTTGGAATTAGTCATGGAAAGTCATGAATTTAAAAATCTAAAATGTAGCAGATACCCTGTATTTTTGAAAAATAGTGCTATTTGTTTCTTTTCTCAAGAGCTTGAAAAAGGTAGTTTTAAAAGAATATTTTCAGTCAATTATTTTGTCCTTTTTTTAGTTTTGTCTGGTAGCTTGTTTAAATGGAAAAATGAATGAAATTATTATTGCCATCACGCTCAGAATTCCTGTTGAAATTTGAGAATTCCATCTAGATTCTAGTCAGAAAATTAATTAAATTTTAATTGACAAATTGTTTTTCGAGATAAATTTGTCTCGTAGTTGTCAGGCAATGGTTGACGCTATATTTTTGGCAGGCACAAAGCTCCAATTGAGATTTAATAACAACAGTTAGTCGTGGCAAGAAGGGATCACAGCTTGTTATGTCATCCGGTACTCCATTAAAATCTCTCCATTAATATTTTATAAATTTTATATACACGTATTTTATATATGTGTGTGTAACATGAAAGGCTTTAACAAATCTTTTTATTTTATTTCTTTGTCTAAAGTCTCCTTTAATTCATTCAAAATGAAACCAGTTCTCATAATTAGTATTCACATCCAGCATCTGAGTCACCATATCCAGCCTGCCAGTTTCCTAAAATTCTATTTTAGTGTTCATAGCATTAGCAATAGAAAGAAAAAAGTTTTCAAACCACTTTTCTAGGTGCACTTATGTTGTTTTTTCAATTACTCGCCAGTCAGATTGAGTTTAATGTTTTTGTATAATTTAAATAAGATTATTATGTATATTTTTTAAAGAGCATAAGCATCTATTAAAAAAATATATGTACTTTGATTATTTTATATTACTAAAATGTAAATATTGTAAAAATATGTTAAAGAGTGACTATAATGCAACTATTTCATATATTTGGAAACTATTTTGGGGATTTTTTTCCCTTCATATTTGAAGCAGCTAAAGTGACTATTTGGACTAATGGAAATACCCTAGTAGCAGCCCTGAAAATGTTTTTTGATTTCATTGTCAGCTTTTTTTTTTTCCTAGCTCATCTCTGATGATTGAGAAGTAATAAGAAAAGAGGTTAGAGTCAGTTGTTATAGTAATAGTGTTATAGTGTAGTTTCCATATTTTAGCAATCACTTTAATGTTTAGATTTCAGACTTGGAAGACTTCGCATAGGATAAATTTCCTTTAGAAAATAATTTATAATGTATTACATTATTTAATGTTAACTTCATTTTCATTACCATATTATTTATGGCTTATGGACACCCTTGGGTAAAACAACTAGGGATCAATCTATTTATTTTTATATGAATTTAACTAGAAATAAAAACAAATATAATGAAAGCAACTCTTTGACTTGAATTATACATGACAACATTCTCTCTACAATACTTGATTTCTTTTTTTTTTAAGATTGTAAAAGTGTACTGTGAAGAAGATAATTTGCCATTGAATACTGCTGCCTGTAGGTTGCTTTTAGATATACTGCCAGGATTGGAAAGTGTGATTTTTGAAGAGGTAGTTATTTTCAGTTTACCTATTTTGTACAATATCCTTAAGATGTGTGACATAGTATTATCCTAATAAATAAATGAAATTTAAAAATTAAAATTTTTGTAATTTATGAAGTAACAATAGATTTGAGAGGACATATTGCCTAGGTGAGCAAAGAGATAAAGTTATGAACAAAAAAAACTAATATTTCTGATTTTTTTTAACAATAAGAGCGACTTTTGATAAGTTAATATATTCTTTCTGTGGAAAAATAAGTTTATACACTGGAGTGTAAAAATTAAGGACAAAGTGGTTTTTCAAATGTAAGTTTGAACAGCAGTGTTGAAAATCGATAAAAATCATACCATAGGATTCTCAAAATGTAAAAATATGAGAAAGTAAGCAACTTACAAGAAAAAGTTAATGTCTTCCATGAAGATGAACTTATTACCCACAGCACCTTTAAAAGATGCACCTCTGGAACTAGTTGTTATAAAGGGGTGATATTCTTCATTAGTAGGTAATTTGATTATCAATGCTAGTTCAAAAAATTTTGTTAAATATGAAACATTCTTGGTATATGAATTGATATCTTGATATCAATATTTTGCTCAAAAATTTTCAGGGTTTTGCACTTTGTGTCAGAATTACCCCTAACAAAATATATTAGTATTATCTATACTTCATTGTACCTATATTACTATTTTTGCTATCTATTTAAATTGCTTTGATTACCATAATACCAGTTGTGCGTAGTACCAAAATTACTTTAGCATCATTGGCGTCTATAATATCATGTCAATTTTTTAAGGTTCTCTTAAACAAGTTACAGGGTACAGTGTTTTCATTACAGAAAAAAAATGAGAGAATTTTTCGCCCTTTCTCAAAAACTGGGTGAGATTTCTAAAAATTAAAAAAAAAAACACGAATAGACTTGGAAAAAAAACTGTTTCTTTAATTATAATACATTTTTAACATCTTCTAATTTTTAAAGCATTGAATATTTTTGCTGCATTATCACATGGACAAGGTCCTATATCTACTTTTTCATCAGCTATTCTCGTTAGGTTGCTCAAATGCTTATCAGTCAATCTGTTACGATATTTTGTCTTAATACGGTTTTGGGTGCTAAATGACCTTGCAACAGATGCTGAACTATTCGGAATCCCTAAGTAAATTTGTCTTTTCAATTATTTCTGCTATAGAATAATGAAGTTCGTTGAAGTTATTTCCATGTTCATACTTCTTGTTAGGTCTTCCAGCATAGTTTTCACAGACTTCAACTTTTACAAATTGCTGTAAATTGTTGATAAGTGAGTTTGGTAATTCATTAACAACTAAAAATAGAGCAACTTTAAACAACTTATTATAAAGGGCTAATTTTTTTTCTCAACACTTGTCGTAGCTGTTCTTTTCTAACACAAGTCTTTTTCAAAATGGCGGAAGACGAAATTTTTTCCAGAATTCAAGAGATTCAAGCATTTTAAAATTGATTGATAGAGTGCGCGAACTTCTCGCTTTAATAATTTTTTAATGCGAGATAGGAAAAAAATGCGAGATTCTCGCTGTAGTGAAAACACTGGTATCCGCGCACCTGGAAAGTCATGAAAAATCATGGAAAGTCATGAATTTCAGTATTGAACAAAATTTGTTATGAAATGTCATGATTTTTGCTATTTTTTAAAAAAAATCATGGAAAGTCATGAATTTAGGTCTCCCAGTGTTTAAAGTGCTGCGCCGATCCGCGCCAAGTGTGGAAACCAGCGCCTACATGCTCCAAATTGAAGTAGTAGGCTTAAATTGCGCCGATCTGCGCCAAAAGGGATATTTTCTCCTGGGTATGGCCAAGTCACAATTTTGCGGCAACCAAGCTACTGCGATGTGGGGGTTGCTCTGGATTCAGTGGGAAGGATTCTTGCACTCTCATGTGCAACTCTGCTTCATTTTGCAAGATCATTCTCATTCATTTTCAATTTCAGGTTTATTTTCCACTCTCTGAAATGGAACCAAAACTTCCCTCGAATTTTCGGGGACCAACTAAACATTCCAAATTTTAATAGCAAAAGAAAATTTTATTTCTCTTGTTAATTTCTTCGTTATTGAAGTGCTATAGTCTTCGTCAATGGCAAGCTAATAGCCTTCTTGCCCTATTCTATTTATAGAATAGTACCCATGATCTTGGAATTAACTTGGGGACCCTTCACTAAGTACATATTTTCATGTTGATCCTCAGAGCAGTCAAGAATCACAAAGCTTCATAACCTCAAAATTTCCATCTCCCTTTTATTCATTTAATTTAATAAAGATGAGAATTAATTGAGTTTCACAAACGTAAATTTTATCTGAGGGACCATCCACTAATTGCATATTGTTTTTGAACATTTATTTTACTTTATTACTTTTTTTTTACTAATATTTTTATTTTTTCTTATTGCATTTTATTATTGTGTTATTACTTTCAAAATTTTCAGTGCTCTTATTTTGTTTCAGGAAAAAACTTAATAATATTTAGAGAAAAGATTTTAAATGAGTATGAAGAGAGGGGCTTTCAAAAATTTTAAAGCAGCAAAAAAATCTTATGTTCTTCAGATTTGTCATTCAAAAATACTTTAATTCATCTCTTAATGATTTGATTTAAAACAATTGATCTAAAAAGTTTTAATTATCACAGATTTGTTAAATATTATGAGTGTAGGGACATTATAATAATTTACTTCTGACAAAATTTTTTTTACCTTCAATACTCATTGTATTTGCATTTAAAAATTATTTATTTATTTTTAATCATTTCATTAATGAAATACTGTACTAGGTAACCAATTTTAATTTAAAAAATTTAGGGGCCATTCACTAATTTACATTTGTAATATAAATTTATTAATGTTTGCTTAATTTTTTACATATTTTTATAAATTCGGTATGATGAATATTAATCTTGTTAATGTTTAGTTGAATATACTATAACAAATAACATTTATTTAAATTTTAAGAAAAATATACTCAATAACATTAAATGATAGTTAAATTAATTAGAGTTTTAAATTACCTTTTACAGAATTAAATAAAGTAATTATTAATTTAAAAAATAGTATGAGCCACTCAATATTGAATTTATTTAAATTGCTTTTGCCAAAAGCTCTTTTTTAAAAAATATTTCGGCTATATAAATAAATGTTTAGGTCTTTTTTCAAATTCAGACACTATTGATTCACTTGCTGTATGATGAAATGGTGTCTCTATTTAAGAATTGTTAGGGCGTTTTTTAAAGAGTTCTGCTTTTCTTAGTTTGACGGGAAAGGACTTAAAATCTTTGGTTGTAGAAAATGCAGGAATTTGGCAAAATTCTACTTTAATAGATGTTGGACTAGATACCACAAATGCGATGACATCCTTATGTTCTTCAAAAAAAAAATTGTGTGTATTTAGGGGCCAGGTCTATAGCATGTACAAAAAAGTTATTAAAAGCATTGCCTCTTGAAAATAGGTTACTGTACCATTTTAAAGTGTTGCATCCTGTAATGAGAATGGAAGACACTTCTATTAAGTCAATAAGATATCTGGCAACAGTAGCCCCATTCATTATAAAACCTGAAGAGGCATCTTTGTTACTGTTATGTGGAGAACCAGAAGGTTATTCTTCTGACTCAAATGAATGTGCACCAATTGATGTGCTTTGGAAAAATTATTTTGTGAAGAAATATAATTTGGGAAATATCAAATATCCTCTTATAACAAAGCTTTTTAAAGCTCTTTTGTGCATACCACATGGGAATGCCGATGTTGAAAGAGGTTTTAGTACTGGAGAGGTTTTTGTTTCGTTCATATGTGTGAATAAAAAGCTACTTGACAATAGGGCGAGTTTAAATTTGCATAGTGTTAATGGTTTGAGACAAGTTGTGTCACATATCTGCTGGGGGGCTTAAATAACTTTAAAGTTGACAAAGATATGATTAAAGGGACTCATGCAGCATTTAAAAATTATTCTGCTTGATTAGAGATTGAGAAAAAAGAATGTGAAAACACTGAAACTGAGGAAAGTAGATTGAAAGCTGCTGAAATTGATTTGCTTTAATTGAAGGCTTCTCAAGATCTATTAGCCACAGCTGAAGAAAATATTAAAGATGGGTTAAATAATAAAAGCATGTCGATTATAGAAAGCGGACAGATCCTCTTATCTGAGGCTAAGTCAAGGATAGCAGAATATTTAACAGAATTGGAAGATACCAAAAAGAAACTTAATTTGTTTATGCAGGGACCTTCAAAAAATTGTAAAAAATAAGATATGTTACTAATGAACAAAATTAAAAACTTTTGTTATTAAATTGCTCCAAAATAGCTTTTCAGTTGCTCCAAAGATGCTTCAAAACCATGTTTTGCCACTTGCACCACTGGTCTCCGAAAAATCTAATTTTTAAAATGGAATCCCCCCCCCCAATTTCATCCTGTTCCAAATATCTGAATTCCTAACAAAATCATCACTCGGGCATATTTTATTCGAATATAAAATGATTTTATCATGTTCTTTAAAAATTATGGTGCTGTTTCAAAAAATGAAAGAAAACACATCATTTCTAGAGCGAATTATCTTTTAAACTCTTCTGTGATTTAAGAATCTTTGTTTATTTTATTTTATTTTATCAATTTAAAATTCGAGTTGAAGCAAACCAGTCATTGGCGAATATTTTTTATTCCAAAATCAGAACAGAAAAATCAGGAGTATTTCTTTCCTTTCAGATGAACATGAAAAGTGTCTTTAGAATATAATTCTACAGAAAAAAAATTATTTGCTTTCGTATTTTTTTCAGCTATTTTATTGTTTCAACCAGGGTTTGTTGATTTAAATCAGCTTGATTTAAAGCACAATTTAAATAATGATTTAAATCAAGATTTAAATAATGATTTTTTTAAAAAAATCATTGATTTAAATCGATTCTTTTTTTAAAAATATATATATTGATTTTAAATGTTAAAAAACAGTGTTTTGAATTATTGATACTTCTATTATTTTGTTTTCTTAGTTTTAAAATTTATTTTAAATAAATTGCTGCATTAATTAATTTTTAATGTAATTACTTTCTTTCTTGGTGTTTGTTAAATTCCAACACATTTGAAATTACACTTTTAAAAATGTTTTGATTCTTGAGATTGAAAGTACAGATTAAAGTAAACATTTAATGCTGTTTTAATCTAGTACCTTTATAATACTTATATATAATACTTTTTTAAATTTATTGTTGCTTTTTTGTTGGAGAAAATAGTAACTTCATTAAGTTATGAAAAATTCTTGGAATTAGTCATGGAAAATCATGAAAAGTCATGAATTTGAAAATCTAAAATGTAACAGATACCCTGAAATTAGTATAATTTTTCCATTAATTATGCTGCACTTATTTATCATGGAGTAATATCCTGTACTTCATGGTTGTTGTAGCTTGGTAGATGTAACTTTTTATGCATCTTTTTCTTTTTTTTAAATTATAAAGTGGTATTTAAAAAGTGAAATTCCTACTATCTAACTCTACTAGCGCTATAAAAATTTATAAGATCCATAACAACCATTTAAAAAGATATATTGACTTTGTCTTAAAAAAAAAAAAATTTAAAAAATGTAATGAGAGATTTATGAAAATGGATAACATTACATTACAAATTTATATGGATCTATTAGTTAATTCTTTTTCCTTTTTTTTTATTTACGAAAAGAACAATATCTATTAAAGTAGTTTGAAAAACAAAATCAAATCATTTTTGCATTTGAAACATTCTCCATTTTCTTAAATAAGCAAATTGAATTGCATCCATTTTCTTGACCTTTGTTTATGGCTAGTGCAAGAAGTTTACTAGAATAACAGACTTCACCATGCTAAGCGCCATTAGCAAATGTTTAAATATGCTTTTTTAGGTGTCTCAAATTTTTAAAATACATATTTCCACCTATGTCAATTTTCTGTAACTGTGCATTGTAATCCTTATCCATCTTTGTAAATGCATATTTTGAGCAATCTCTATTTTCTTAAACATTTTGTGCTATGTCCTAAATAAAAGAGCTCGCTAATATACATGCAACTGACAAAACAAATCAGAGAATAGATCAGTAGTAAAATGACATAAAAATAAATCAAAGATTGTTCAGATTTTGGCAAGTAGGAGATTTTCTAACTCTTGGATTATAAATTAATAAAAAACATACCTTCTTTAATTATTTTAAGAATATAAAAAGAAAAAGATTAGCCCTCTCCTTGACCTGAAAATTAACTTAAGAGAAGGGTTAATGCAGAATATTACATTGGGCAATAAATCTTATAAATCTTCTATGCTTAAAGAGCATGTAATTGCTGGCAGGCAAACATTATCTATAATTTAATAATGTACATATTTTTATACCAAAATTCTGTTCATTTAAATAAAAAAATTTATATTGCATACAATTCACTAAAATAATTTTTTTAACTCTTTAAATGCTTTTATTTTATTATTGCTATGATGTCTATGTTTTTCTGTGTATTAATTGTATATTTTTTTGTATTTAAGTTGCAGTAAATTTTCACAATTTTTTTTACAAATCTTCTGCAAATTTCAATTATTTTTTTTCAGTAACAAATTTGCTACCCTTCTTATAACAGAATTAAGTGTCCATAACTACCTGCCTTTCATTAACCTATTTTTTTATTTTATAGGAAGGTTTTGTTCCACGGCTTTTGCATTTTGTTGAAATTTCTCCTAATCCATTAAGATCCTATGCTACAGGCCTTGTAGCAGCAGCTATGGAGTGTACAGAAATTGCATCAAATTTTCGAGAAAGAAATGTGTACTTTGTAAGTTTTTGATTTTTTTTTTTACATATTAATATGGTTGTCAGATTTTGTATTTTTAAATTATGTTGAATCAAGATAAAAGTAATAACATTTAAAAATCATTTAAATAAATTTTAAAAAGGCAGTAAATATATACGATTTTGCTTTTATTTAGCAATTATAAAGTTATTTTAAGAGTTAATTGTCCATTTCTAGTTCTTTCACAATAGTATTCTCAATGCTTTTGTTTTTTCCACTTTTTTGAAATCATAATGTGTGGTTTCTTTCTTAATAGTTTTCAATGTTTAAGACAGTCATTTGGCAACCTCATCATTGTTAGTTGTGAATTCCTGGATCCTTTTTTCTACCTACCAGAGAGGAAAATACTTCAGCCTTTCTCTAGATAAATATTATTTTCTTCTCATAAAAATTTGATTGGGCTGATCGTGTTAGGTTTTATTTGCTTCGCAATAACGTTTTTTTTTCTAGCTAGAATATCGTTTTTTTCACCACATGTTTTCACTTCAATTCATGAAGCGTATACATCAGAATTGCGGCACTAGGATTAGTGACTATTAAATAAAGAAATTGAAATCATCAGATGCTAAAGGATATCTTTCCATTAAATCTTTTTTTAAAGCTAATGAACTGCCTTATATTGAACTAGAACAACCACTACTGATTATTGAGCGAGAACAACCGCCACCGATTATTGAGCGAGAAAAGTACTGTTAACTACTGAATTAAAACAATCACCACCGAATATTGAACATGAAAACTTGCCATCAACTAGTGAATTAGAAAAATCTCCACCGAGGCGTCGACTAGTGAATCCGAAAGCTTGATTCTCAAAATTGCTCAAGAAAAATTAAGACTGATTATTAAGCTTTATGAGTAACTTCATAATTAGCTCTATTATATCATACTGCTAAAAAATTTCTATTTAAAATATGTTCGGTTATTTATCAGATTGAACCCTGGATTACTCAACCTGTAAAATTTGGCGATCATCCTAATAGAGTCATCGATATGCTTTAAAACAGCGCCAGACATCTTTCAGTATTTGCAACTGGAAAAAATGCTCCAAGAAAATTGCTACAGGGATCATTTAATGAAGGAGCAAAAATAATTTCTGATAAAAGACAAAGAAAGAAGACATCAGAAAACTTCTCACTAAGTACATAAAAATAGCTTATTTTATCATAAAAAAAAACAAAAACAATTTGGCTTCTTTGGGGAAGTGTATTGGAAAAGATCTGGGTGGTGCAGACATTCAATCCTAATTTAAGTTCATGTGGCAAGAATGCAGCATATATGTCTAATGTTTCAGTTGACAATATAGTTGGTACAATTTCTCTCCATCTTGAGCAAATTACTATTACAAATTTGAAAGTAGTAGATTCTTTTACATTATTAGCAAATGAGTCTGCAGATGAAACACAGTGGTTGCAACTTGGTTTTATAGCCTGTTATAAATTAAAAAGAATACCGGGAGTCAAAGAAAAGTATCTTGGGATGATAAACCTAGCTTCAACTAATGCTACATCAATAACTAATGAAATAGAGAAATTTATGATGGTTAAAAGAATAAAAATAGCGAATTGTTTTGTTCTGGCATTAGATGGAGCAAATGCTATGAGTGGGCAAATATCTGGTGTGCAAAGAAGAGTTTGGAATTTATCTCTACATTCTACGTACATCAATTGTAGAAACAATCGATTGGCTCTAATTTATGCACATCTCTTAAAGAACCATGCAATTTTACAGAACATAGATTTCCTGCTTATTAGTTTCAGGAAACTTTTCCATTTCAGTCCTGTTAAACATCAAGTTTTAAAGACATTCAATAGAATGTATATTTCATGAGTGTTTTGAAAACTCTGAAAGTTTCTGCTAGAAGATGGCTTCCACACGGATTTGCATACTCGAGAATAATAAACTGTTATCTGAAATTTGTGTAAACTCTGGACACTATGTTTTAAAATGAAAGACAACCAGAGCTTAGGTGGCTAGAGAACAATTGTTAAATGTGAATGGTTGCCTTGCTTTTTATTTTTATCTGACTTTCTTAAGGTTAAATAATTTGAATCTTTGACTGCAAAACACTTAAATTTTGTATAGTTCTGTTGAAACCGAATTGTCTGTCATCTGTAAAGAAGTGGAAGAGCTTTCTATTAATTTGAAAGATGCAGAGAATTTTAGGAAAGCTGAAGAACTTTTACAATTTTCTGATGAGTGCACTGAGCTCAGTATGAAAAGACATAAGTGTAACAATCAAAATATTTCAGACAGAATCCAAAATTTTATGAAAAATTTTGTTAAGAAATTTCATATGATTTCATGTTAAAGATTTCGGATGAATTTGCAGTAAATAATGAAGTTGCATTTGATATGTTCAGCAATTTGGATATTAATTACAATGTACCAGATAGTCAGGACTAAACTTGCCTTTTTACTTTATTGTCTTTTTATGGACTGAAACAAATTGATACATTTCAGGGTACTATCAAAGTTTCACCCCCGTTTAAAAATTCTATAAAAGCTCAAAAGGAAAAAGATAGTTTTAACATTAATGTGTCTCTTGCAAAGGTGACTTATGATTTAAATAAAAATGCTGCAGCTCAATCACTTCTCAAGCATGCTAAGAAATAAGTAAAAAAAAAAAATGCATTGAAAAGAACATGACTTCACTTAATATCTTAAATTCTGTGGAAAAAGAATCCCATAGCTGGGAAACTTTTCCAAATCTTTTACAACTACTAACATTGTCTTTAACTATACCATCATCAACAGCTTCAGTTGAAAGATTATTTTCTTGAATGAATCTTGTTTGCACTGAGTTGCAGCAAGAATAAAACAAGAGACATTAGATAGACATTTGCGCATTGTTATAAATGGGCCAAAAAAATTGACTGAGGTTGAGTGTTCAGCAATTATTGATATTTTTAAATCTTCTGAAAATCAAGGTATATTGCTCTAATATTTTGTTAATTATGTTTTTCTGCTTAAATTTAAATGCTAAGATCTCATTTTATTTATATTTTGTAACTTAAACCCTTTTGAAATCATATATAAAATTTATAAATTCCAAATTAAGTATTCTTTGGTATTATTTCTACAAGCATCATACATGTACATTCTTATTAACATTAAATAATTAATAATTTTTGTTTTCTCAGTAAATAAATAATTGTTCAGTTTATATTTTCATAAAATTAATTAATAGAATATTATTTAATTAGAAATTGATTTATATGAATTTTTTAAATAAAATTTTATTGTTGAGGAAAAACTATAATCACATTTATTTGAAGCAGTTTTCTTCTACGTCCGCATGTTATCAGAATGTTCTGATTGACCGTTAACTTTTGAGCCCAAGAAGGCTATAAATACCAGTAACTTTGTTTATCCGATGTTCTTTCCTATTTCTACAGGGTTCCCACGGTCCTTGAGAGTGTAAGTCTCTGTGTTCTAATAAACATGTCTTTCTCTGATCCACTGCTCTCTGAATTTCATTACATCAACAGTTATAACTTAAAGAAAGGTTTAAATTTGCTTACTGTGTAACACATTAAAAGTTATCCATAAGTTGTGTTATTTAAAATAGATAAATTGAAATGATTTAAAATGTAAGTGGTTTTGTTTTCATTATTCATCCGAAACACATAGTCGGCATTTGAGCAATATAAGATAAATACTGAATATTTGTATGTCGCATCTTTAATTTAGTTGCAGCAATCAGTATTTTTGAAAATTTATTAGAATTTTACTGTGTTAAGTATAATCTTGTTTCTATTTACAATTTAAAAACTCTTTTAAAGTTATTTTTGCAAATTTCGCAATGAGAGCATCCTATTTGTACAAATTCACAAAAGCAGGACCCTAGTTGAAAGAATGCTACAATGCTAATTTTAGATTCACAAATTATGAATAGTTTTTTCACAATTTTGCAGGACCTTTCACAAAATGTCTGAACGGACCTTTGTAACTATTTGTATTAATTATTGTTGCTTTTAATATATATAGTGATTGAGTTAATTTTCTCTAGGTACCATTGATGCTGAAAAGACTTCATGAGGTTAGTCAAAAGTATTTGAAAACACCACCTCCTAATTCTAATGATACACTTGTCAACTCAAATAGGCCATTTGCTGCATTTAAAAAGCTTTCAGAGAAAAGATGTGTGGAGGATGATAGTAAGTCAAGTTCATACAAGTCACCTAAAAAGAAAAGGAAAAACAATGTAAGTTAGAAATAAGTTTGTTAAAGTATTTTTCCCCCGCATAAGTAACATATAACATAATTTAAAAGGCAGGCTCACCATCATTTATTAACATAAGAGGAAGAGAAAAGTTAAATTAACGCTACTTTGATGCAATAGATTTCTGTTTAGTTTTGTTTGTCATGTTTAGCTGTTCAAGGGATACTTTGAAGTTAAAAATATTGAGATGATAAAGTAGTCAGCCAAATCTTTAGCTAATAAGTTATACACTGATGAGGATTATGCACTACTATATTTCTTAGCTTGGCAGAAATGAGGGTAGTAGATTGTAGTATAGTATACCGGAAATTACGGTACTTAATCATTTTTGACATTATGTGTATCATTTTGCTAATGACATGTATAGGACAAATATAAAATTATCGTAATTTCGCGGAGAAACGCCGCCCTGGTATATACGCCGCGCCCTAAAAAATAGCTTGAAATAAAAAAGCTTTTCATAGGATATGCCGGTCCATCGTACACGCCGCGCCGAATTTTACTATACTAACGCAGGTATTGATAAAAGACTTAACACATTCTCTAAATATGCATATGTGTATAATTTAAATAGTTAAATAAGAACCAATAAAGGGATATTGAATATACAAAAATATAGAAACAATCCTAGTATATAAAGTACATTTCAATAACTTTCTAAGTAAAATTAAGCATTTTCTCATTTTAATGTGAAGTAACCATTAAAATATAAATATAATAATTAATTCATTATTCAGAAACCATTAAAATAAGTATGAAAATTGTTTAAATTAAGCGGTCTTACTTTTAAATCAGCAATCCAAAATCCTGTTTTAGAATTAGACGATAAATCCAAAAAAATTTTGTTCAAAGAAAAACTAAAGAATAATTTATTTAGATATCACCTATCACTATATATTCATATCACTGCACTTAAAAATTCCTCAAAATCAGAACTCTCTGTACCAGAGCAAATTAGGTTTACTAGTTTATTGTTTATTTCTGGCTCATCTCCGTCACTCACACTTTCAGCCTCAATTTCGGTTTCGTTTTGTCCCGGGATGATTTCCGCTTTTTTGAAGCCATTTATCACAGTTTCTTTTTTAATTGTTGGCAGCTTAAGCACAGCGGTATAATTTTTCCTCTTATTGAGAGGCATTTAAAATGAATAACTTAAAAACAAGTTATATCAAAACAAGACGAAAATATTATAAACGAAAGAAGAATATTAACGAAAGAAAAATATTAATAAAACAAAAACAAATCGGAATTGAAGATAAAACGATAAAAATAAATAAATAAACAAAATTGAGCTGAGGAAGATCAAAATTAAACAGAAATATGAGCAATGAAAAAAAGGAAAAAAACCAATACTCCCAAGGATATAAAACAAGTTTCTGTATTTAGCATTTCCTCCCCCTATTTTCGTTTCTCAAATCAGGTTTCTTTTTTTAACTGACTCCACCTTGGACGGTCTTTCTTTTATCCCTGTCTAAAATTCTCACACATTGCTTTTTTTCCTCTTTACTGACCCTCAGTTGAAAGTTTGAAATTCTTCTTCAACATTTTAATTGTAAGATTATTCAAGGTTATCCCAAGCTCATCAGCTCCCTTTATTCATCAAACATTCACATGTTTTTAACAACCAGCTGAAGAAAAAAGGGGAGTTGAGAGGCATCCATGACAAGTGGAATAGACATATTTCCTGGAAAAAACGGAGGGGGGGAGCGTTTGTTTTACAGTTGATGTTATCACTGGCCCCACCCTGATTTTTTCATTCATTCCTTTCTGATTTATGCTTCTCCACTCCACACCCATTTTCTACACTCAACAGCTGTTCATATGGCAGAAAAGGAAAGAGAGATTGTTCTCTTGTGGATAGTGGCTTCCAGAAACAGGGATCTGATTGAGATTTTTTCAGATTTTTCCATATCTTCCGCTCTTTTTTCATAAATTTTTTTATGCAGTGAATGATATTTTGTTGAAAAATTTTTTCTTCCACGGAGCAAAAGTATTGAAGCCCCCAATAAACCTTTCTTCACATGTCAATCTGCTGGCTGGGGTAAAAGTGGTTGACCTTGGTAAAACAATGCCGTCATCTACTACACTACTCTCTTATCTTTTCAGGGATGAAAGACTTTTTAAAATTTCCGACCATTTTCCAAAAACTTATGGGGAGTCGAACGAACGATATAGTCGGACTTGCGACGAACTCCCCCCCCCCTGCAGTAGCCCCCTGAAAAAATGATCTTCAGAAGAAAATGGGTAGAATTTCGGCATGTATGCCGTAGCCTTGACAACCGCGACTTCCGCTATAGATTGGAAAAAAGAAAAAAAGTCCTAAGCAGTTTCGTTTCGGCCGCTGATATTTGATTTCTTTTGATTGGCTGATTTACAGAATTTTAAATATTAGGAACTGGGCCAGAATCTGCTAAAATTGCGATTCTTATTTAGATGATTTTTATGTAAATCATCGATTTTCGTATTTAACTGATTTAAAAGTTACTTGTTGAGATTNACCAGGTCATATTCATTGGCAGTTGTGGATTACACATAACGAATAATGCTTTTAAACATGGTGAAAATGGGATATGTTCCTTCTAATTTTTATTTTCAGAAAGAATTGTTGCTACATAACATTTAGAGAAGGTTGTGTAAATTATGGATGAATTAATTTTACAATTTCAGAAATGATGTTTAATAGAGGAGAGGAGGGGGTTATGGAATAGTCATGGAATATGGAATACCTAAGATTTAGCTCTGTCTTTCATGCAGCCTTCACGTGGAAATACACAGGAATAAAGGATTTCACCATTAACACCTCATTACCATTAGTTATAGATTGTGCTGAAAATGATTTTGTGAATTAGTATGTAAAACCAGTAGGGTTGTTTTTAAAAAAAATATAAATGGTAGTCCATAATACATGTACTCTCTTCTCTCTATATAGGCAAAGCATTTAGGTATTATATTTGAAATTAATTATTGCCACAACAAGCATTGTTGCTTCTAGTAAAATAGAAGAGAATAATTTTTAAAATTGGTCTTAGATTAAGGTCCTTGAAAATTTTGTTGAGGTCCTTGAAAAGTCCTGGAAAGTCCTTGAATTTCAATCTCATCGTAGAGTGGGAACCCTGGCCGCTGATATTTGATTTCTTTTGATTGGCTGATTTACAGAATTTTAAATATTAGGAACTTTGCCAGAATCTGCTAAAATTGCAATTCTTATTTAGATGATTTTTAAGTAAATCATCGATTTTCGTATGTAACTGATTTAAAAGTTACTTGTTGAGATTCGTTTTTACACGATTTAAAAATCATTACTCGCAATTCCCATTTAAGCGTTTTTAAAACCCAATATCGCGATTTGTATTTAAACGTTTTTAAAACCCATTATCGCAATTCATATTCCTGCTAGTTTAAAATCCAATGTCGCGATTCATATTCATATATATTTTTAAATTTCAATATTGCGATTCGTTATCGCGCTGTTGTAATATCAAACATCGATTTTCGTATTTATGCGCGGTTTAAACATTACTCGTTGTGATAAGTATTCACGGACTCTAAAAATTATGCATCGTGATTCTTATTTACGCTATTTAAAAATTTAATACCGCGATTTGCATTTTTGTGCTTTTAAAATTCAATATCGTGATTCTTATTCACGTGATTTTAAAATTCAATATCATGATTCTTATTCACGCTATTTTAAAATCAAACATTGTGGTTCTTATTCATGCGATTTTAAAATCCAACATCGCGATTCTTATTCAAGCGATTTTAAAATTCAACATCGCGATTGTAAAATCCGATATCGCCTTATTCACGCGATTTTAAAATCCGGCATCGCGATTCTTTTTCACGTGATTTTAAAATCCGGCATCGCGATTCTTTTTCACGCGATTTTAAAATCAATCATCGCGATTTTTATTCACGCGATTTTGAAATCCAACATCGCGATTCTTAATCTAAGGTCTTTAAAAATTGTGTGAGAAATGAACTTTCTTGTCCTATCAACACTGATGATCAAAAGTCTGCAAAGCGCAGTCTACAGATCAGTCATGTTAATAAAAGACCATCAAAAAAACAAAGAACTGATGAGAAAGTCCATAAAGGTCCTTTGACCACTAAAGAAATGTTTTTTAAAATGATGTGATACATAAAATCGTGCTTATGCATAATTACTAAAAGTTATCTAAATTATAAAAAAAAAAATTACTTTAATGAAGATTTTATTTAAGAACATAATTACCATTTATTTATATTTATTTGAATAGATAATAATGTAATCATTATCAGATTGGCTATTGAATTCATATAATTTTTTCTTTTGCACGCTTAATGCTACAGTTATAAACTTCCTCTTTTTTGTGTTTTTGTCAATCACATCCCTGCAGAAAGTGATTCCAAGAAAAGATTGGGGTGTGTAGGGGGAAGGAATAATTCCAGTTGCACTGACCATTCTTTGGAGTAACATTAAGCATGAAAAAATAAATAAAAAGCACTTATAACAGGTGGAAAGAATGATGATGAAATTTCCAGTTGGGTTTCTAAAAAGCAAAATTTTTAAGGAAGAAAAAAAAAAGTAATACTATATAGGCCGCCCCATTAGATACGCCTTCCTACTAAATTTTCAAGTTTTAAATCAATAACGCTGCGGCCTATTTCCGCGTAATTGCGGTATGTATGAAATGTCAAGACACCCTTAAACTTGAAACTACCATGTAATTTTTTGTGCTATTTTAAATATAATATTTTGTAATATTTATATCAATTATTAGTATATTCAAAAAAATTTTTTTTTTAATTGAATTTCATTTTATGGAGATTTTTTAAATTGGTTATAACTTTAAATGTGATAAGCAAAAATGCTGATTCATACTGTTTATGCTAACATAAATTTATATTATTTAGGATACTCTTAGGAACCTCAGATACAGCCCAATTTTACCTGAAGTAAAATCTGGCACCTCTGGCATTGATCTGCAGGTAGATATAATAGTGGATTCTGTAGTAGTTTAATTATATCAAAAATGATATGAATGACAAGAATATAGTTTTGAAATTAAGTAACACAGAACCTAAATTTATCCTTTGTTGTCAGAGCGTAATAAGTAAGGTAGCATTATAATCTACATTCTCACAAAGGAAATGTAGAAATGTATTGCATTTATCAAATCTCACCCAACTGAAAATGTATCTACAATTTACAACAATATGTTAACGAACAATAGTACATTAAAAGCAGACATCATTGGACTCTTCTCTGAAACAATTATAACAATTATTGTAGATCAGTTCCTGCACTAATACTATAATGATATTGTATATGTGATACTGTTCATTTCTTCTCTACCATATTTATAATTTCTAAAATAAAAATCAGATAAGGATGTTTTTAAAATAAAATTTTAGTCGTTTTTTGATGTTTCCAAAATAGAAGCATTGGAATCAAGGTCTTTAAGATAGTATTTTTCAGTATGAATGTTTAATTATTAGATCAAAGGTTATTCAAGTGCTCTGTTTTTTTATGCAAAATGAAACCACAGTATTTACAAAGCTTTAAATTTTTTAATGAGAAAATTTGTGTTTTCAATACTTGTAAAAGAAAGTCATTAAAATTTTATAGTAAAATCAGGAAAGCCTGATAAAATTATATAAGTTTGCCTAAAAATATTGTTTGGCTAAGGTCATACTATAGATCAAAGATGTAAATTATTTTTCAATGTATAATTAAAGTTTTCTTTATCACAGCATTAAATGTTTGAGTAAAAATTTACTCTACATGAAAAAAAAAATATTCTTATTTGAAAAAATTGATTCTTATTTGAAAAATTAATTCTTATTGAATTACTCTCATTTAAATAATCATCCTTTAATGGAAACTAATATTCTTTTCTGAAAATGTTTGTAGACATCTCCTGATGAGAGCTCAAATTCCAAATGGAATGAAATGATGATTGGATCATATTCAGTGTTTCCTCTCACGCTTGCAACAGAACAACGTTATATACTCCAATATTTAACACCAATGGGTGAATACCAAGAACTCATAGGACATATCTTTGAATCAAATGCTTTGTTGCTCATACTCCGCTACATTGATATAAGACAAAATCCTGATGTTCGACTTGCTTTTGAGGCTCTGAAGGTATTTGATAATTAGCTTCTTACATATTGTGAAAAATTGATTACTGGACAAAAAAAGAAATTTTTATGTTAGTTATATTTCATTTAAATATTGTTTCTCTTTAAATAATTTCTGATCAAACAGTATGTTTTACAGTAAAAGCTTGACTATACAGAATACTAAAAAATTTGATAATTCCAGATAGTTAAAAAATAAAAGAAGAAATTAATATAATGAGTGTCACTATTTTAGTTGCTCTTAAGCAAATAAGAAATGACTAAATATTATAGATTCAATATATTCAAGATAGATTCATAGATTCAAATATATTTATATATACTGTATGAACTGTATCTATAATTTATTTTCACTTGGTAATTCTGAAACTTTTTTATGCTTTTATAACATTAAATTCTATGTTTAATGAGTTCACTTACAGGTTTAAGGGTAAAGTGATCTCTAGTTTTGGTGCCTTGGCACTAGGTTATACTACTAGATATATTTTGTGTGTAATGTTGTTGTAGTTAGTATTGTGTTTCTTATTATTTTTTGCTTTCATGCAAATTATAGATTTTTATTTGGTAATAAGCTTATTTTTTAGTTAATAAGCAAGATATCAATGATTAATGTTTTAATTGTGAATTTACTTTTTTTTGTGTTTTTATACTTAGTACCTGGCATCTCTGCTGGTGCACAAGAAAATAGCTATTGAATTTCTCTCAATTGGTGGGCTAAAATATCTTCTAAAAGTACCCTATCCATCCATTGCTGCTACAGGAGTATCTATTTGTTTATATTATTTTAGTTACACTGAAGAAGTTATGGAGAAAGTAATTTCTTTTTGTATTTTTGTTAATCTTTGTGTTCTTTAAATCTTAAACTGTATTAGATTTTCCCGATTTGCAAATTTTTAATTCAATCTTTTTGTATTTTCTTATACTTAAATATTGTAATTATCATTTATAATGTTGTCATTACATCATTTGTGGATTTTTTTTTTATCAAAATTAATTTTGAAAAGCAAACTAAAAAAATTTCTGCTGAAAAAAAAAATCAGCTGAGCATCAATTAGAAAAATAGTTTAAAATTTCAGTCTTATTCATACAAAACTGAAAATGAACTACTAAGAAAGCAGAGGGCCACCAAAATTTTTTTTTGTAATTGCTTTGGGGAAAAAAGAAGTTAAAATGAAAGTAATTGGAAACTGATTTTACATATGAAAAGAGAATTGTTTTTGTATTTTTATTTTCAATAATTAAACAAATTAAAGGATTGGATGAATTGCAATTTGACAAATTTTTATTTATAATTATTTAATATTTTATATACCATTTGGTTTTTGGCTGTAATTTTCATAACAAAGAGTTAAAAATTCAGGAACATAATCTATGGAGCACTTGTTATTTTACATGTGTGTTAATTAAAAAATACTTCATATTTTCAATAGCTAATAATTATCCTTATGCCAAAAATTTGAGGTTTTGACTATTGTCAAAAGGAATTTTTTGACATGACGGTTAAAACGAGATAAAACCTTCAATTGTCAAAAACTTACCAACCCTGCCTAATTATGTTTCTTTCTTTTTTTTTTTTTTTTTTTTTTTTTTTTTTTTTTTTTTTTTTTTTTTTTTTTTTNTTTTTTTTTTTTTTTTTTTCTTTTTTTTTTGAAGAGCATAAAAATATTTTAAGTGCTTAGTTTTTGTTGAAAAATTCGGCTACTTTGAAGACCAATAAAGTGAAATTGCTGTTCTATTTTTTTTTATAATTTATAAATGGCCTTGTGACCACTTTTTGTCCACACCTCATATACATATATATATATACACATAGGTACATATTTATATATTTTGGAGTAAATTTTAGTGAAATAATATTTTTATGAACTTTTGAAATTATTTTGTGTAGTACTGAATTAAATAAATTTAAACTAATTTTAAATGGCAAAGAGAAATATAAACATAAATTTACTAGAAAGTACTTAAAACATAAATTTTGCTACTACAGTAGGGAACCGATTATCCGGAACGATCGGGACCAGCGCTATTCCGGTTAACTGCTTTTTCCGGTTTTCTGAATCGCTACAAAAAGCCGTTTTTTTTATTGTTAAACCCAACTAAAAAAAAAAATTGGAAATAATCTTAAAAAGAAGAAAAAACAATAATGATCATACTAATGATTATTTACAAAATGATGGTAAGGTAAACATCTTTCAAAAAAGAAAGAAAAATCCTAAAATCTTATGAGGGAAAATTTTTTTTTTAAAATATGGCGGGAGAATTTATCGAATTTTGTTCCGGTTTTTTGGTTTTCTGATTTGCTGATAACGGGTTCTGTACTGTACTAGAAAATATTTGCAGCAAAGCAAGTTCACTTCCCTGTATTATGACAAAGAAGCATTTCAAAACCGTAACCATACCTGCTAAGTCTCCTGTTTTTTTAATGGAGACTCCTGTAATTTATGAATATCTCTCATTAATCAGTTTATTATCAAATTTCTGCGTATTTGTTGAAGAAATTTTTAAAAAACATTTTGGTGACAAAATATCTGCTGATTGCAAATATACTTCTCTTATTCCTCAACAGATGGTGCTATTGCCAGTACTGCATTATGTTGAGTGTTGATAGTTTATCTACTGTAGATTAAGATTTATATACATACTTTTTGCTTCGCCAAATGTAATTGCTTATATTATTTCCAATTTTAAATTTCTCTTTGACTTACATGATTATGTATGATACAGTGTAACGTCCCATATCCGGACGTCCCTTTTCCGGAAGGGTCGATTTCCCGGACACTTTTTAACAATCAAAATAAACAAACATTTCTTCATCTTCCCCTCTCCTTTAAAAAAAAAACGAAGTCTTTTGACAGGTTTTTTCCCTTCTCAGCTTCTAGAGATCTATGCATTGAACCCATAAATCAACAGAAAAGAGAACAGAAGATCTACTAAGACCATGACGCTCCTCCTCTGGAATGCAGGAAAGGGGGGGGGATTTGTTTTCAAAAGAGCACAACTGAGTCCCCTCCCTCCCCCTTCTATCCTATGCAGCTGGCTAGTGAAAGAGGCATTTCCTGGAACCTTTTTATTTGAGTGTCACGGGAAGAAGAAATACTGTGAAAAAGGGTAAACACAGCAAATGTTAAAGTGGAAGGGGAATCCCCTTTAGTCACACAAGAAAAAATAAGGAGAACCCCATCAGCATGCCACACCTTTATGCTTGATTGATAGCCAATGGTGGGTGAGAAAATAAGAATTTGTCACTACCCCTACTTGAATGACAAGTAAGGAGGAAATGAATTTTTCTTCTCCACCTACCCACCTTATTGAATGACGGGCATTTCCCCTTCTTGCTTGAATCGTTCTAGTTCAAAATGGCGGAGAGAGCAATTAATATTTTCATAACTGTGAATTTTTTTCGTTTTCTATATTTATTTTTAGAATAGCAATAATTATTTTTTTTCTAAAATTTTGTTTATGATTGATTAGATATCATTCTAATACTAAAACGCTATTCCCTGAAAAACAATGTTTATTTATTTTCTACTTCTTAGATTCAGATCATTTTAAGCTTTGTTTACCTTGGAGGTCGATTATACGGAAAAATCAAATATACGGACTTCGGAAAGTCCCGCCGATTCCGGATTCGCGACTTTCCACTGTATATCATAAAAAATGTCGCTAGAACAGTCTATTATTTTATTTCTCCAATGTTGGCAGGTATGCGTAACTATATTAATTTATCTAAAGAATATATCTCTCATTTGGTGAAACAATGACATAACTGATAGTTAAAGTAATTATCAGTTATGTCATTGTTTGATCAAATGAGCGATATGTGTAATTGAAATAAACTATTGAGTTATCTAGTTTTCTATCATATTCTCCACTTTAAATTCATTTAGAATTTGGTACTTTCACCTAAGACACAATTATATTGTTGCCCAGTGTAATTAAACTTAATATGATCTACTCCAGGGGCTTGTTTTACTGTTCTGTTAAAGTGTCCTAAAATTTTTTTTTTCTTTTTTTGCAATTCTCTCTCCTGCTTAGATAATGTTTTTTTTTTAACCAGTTTGAATTACGGGAATGGATTGTATTTATTTTGAAATATAATTTTTGATAGTTATTGTATGAAAAGATGTATAACTTTCTGAATATGTGGTTATCTGCTCACTATACGCTCTCTCAACTTCCTAACTAACAGGTTAATTATTTGAATGATCATAAACTGCAGTTTCAAAGATCCTGCTTGCTACAGAAACTGTTTTAGTAATGTATACAATTTGGTTAAATTTTAAAGAAGTTAACAAGTTCCTATTTGGAAATAATGTGTTTTAAGTATTTAAAGGCTTATTCAGTTTTTCTGTACATGAAAGGAATATATCATCTTCATTTATATGAGCTAACTTGCATCTTTAGGAAAATGTTCTGTTATTGCCTACAGAATCAATTATGTAAGGTTAAGTAAAAAATAAAATTTTTGAAATTGTCATTATTCCTACTAAAGGCTGAGATTTGATATCAGAAAACCTAAAAATCATGATTCATAACTCAAAATATCAATGGTCTTTAATGATTTTATAATTTCAATATTAGAACTGCATATGCTCATTATGATTATCATAAGTATATTTTTAGTTTTAATAAAATTTAAATATGGTGCATAATAATCTAAAATATTTCATTATATTCATTTGCTTCATTTTGCTATTAATTTCTTAGCTAATTATGGTTCCTTATCTGTTTTTTTTTAGATATGCATGCTTTCATCATCAGATATAGCAGAATTAGTTTCATATGCACTTTATTTGCTGGAAGGTTCTCATGACAGTTCAAGATGTCATGCGACTATGTTTTTTGGCTTTGCATTTGCTTTTAAGATAATTTTACAGCACTTCAATGAACAAGATGGTCTTCGTAAACTTTTCAATGTTGTAAGTTTTTCTACTCTGTCTAATTTTGTATAAAAATTTGCTACTCAAAAGTTTATATTTAGGCCAGCTCATGACTAGTTGAATAAGAGAATAATTTGGGAAAAACTGAAAATTATTTTAAGGTTGTTTAGGCCCAGTATGAATACCTGAAGTTCCTCTCCCTCTCTTCTGAAGTGACCTTTCACTGCCGTTTTCAATTTACTGAAAGGGTCAAAAAAGGAGAAATTTGATTTGGACGAAACATGACAATTCAGACCAAAAAATTTCTTCAAAATAATCTAAAATTTTTTTTGTATACTTCCTTAGCTTACAGATAGCAGTGTAGTTTATTGACAATTGCTCGAGAAAAAAAAATAAAATAGAAATTCACCAAATCTTGAATGCCAGGAAAATGACATATTACCTTAGAAGTTTAAAAAANTATCTTACAGACAGCAGTGTAGTTTATTGACACTTGCTCGAGAAAAAAAAAAAAAAATAGAAAGTCACCAAATCTTGAATGCCAGGAAAATGACATATTACCTTAGAAGTTTAAAAAACAGTCATTTTAAGTTAATAGTAAGTAACTCAACTTAAGCCTTTATGTTAGATGAACCATAAATTGCTTAAATTAATTCTTTTTATCCACTGTAGTAAGAAACAAAAAAAATTTTTGTTGCTGATATGTACAGAATAAAATTGTGTATAATAATCAATCATTAAATAAATAAATAACTTTGATTACATCCAAGCATATTACAATCATACATAAACTTGGTATTAGGTTAATATTTGCTTTCCCTCTTTACAGTATTAGCAGTTAAAAAGAATTTCTGGTAACACTTCAATGTCCTGGCATTCATAAGCCAGGATAATGACAAATTCGCCATTTTATAGCATATAACTTTACTTTAATTTAATATTTTGGCCTAAGACGTTTATATTCTGCAGAAAACAGCAGTATTTCTTAAAATAACTCAGATAAATCTATGTAGATTTTGTTATTAATGATTTCAAGAAACCAGGAAAATGACAGCATAAAAACCTACTAACCTTGAAATATTTTTTGAAGTAGATTTTGAGCCAGATAATTGGTTCTTTATTCATGCAACAAGACATGTTCAGATAGGAGGGTATCTAATCAATCTATTAACATAAGATATTGATTCCTAACGCTATCTATTTTGGTTATAAATCACTAAATAAAAGTAGCCAGGAAAATGACAGACTTTCATGGGACAAGCAAATTATTGTCAGAAAAAATTATTTTAAACGAAGTTTTAGTAAACAATACCCTCTGCGTATATTCTAGAAATGCTTACATAGGATAAGATAAAAAAAATTAGATTTTGAAAAATGTATGGGAAATTTTGAAGCTAGTTATTATTGGAAATATTGTTAGGGACATGCCAGGAAAATGACATTTTGATATTCAATTAATTTTTTAAGTATACAAAACAGTCAATGCTAGTGCAAAGTCATTTTAAAATGCTAACAGCAATGCTATTAAATTTTTTAAAAAAAAGTTCTTTTAGTATTATAGTATTAGATCTTGGAGCAAGGGACAGTGAATTGTCATGTTTTGTGAGAATCACCCATATATATATATACATATATTGGCTGAATCAAATGAAAATCATAACTGAGTTAATTGAACTGCTAGTTAAGAAGTTATTTTATATAAGCATAACTAGAGTTATAAGCATTACTGTTCCAAGGATTCATCAGACAACTCTGAATCAACTATCATCACTTTTAAGTTATACAATGACTTCCACATTGCTGGCAACAAGTTCTACTCAATGTTTGTGACATTATTAAAGGACACTGAAATTTAGTAACATTCATTTCCTTTGTGCATGTTGCAAATAAATAATTTCAGCAATATTGCATTACCTGGTACAAGACCAGCATTTCAAGTCCAATCTTTCTTTGTGCATTTTGCAGTGCAATGCAGTTAGAAGCATCTCTCAATTAATTCAAAAAGTTAAACAGTCAGTATATAAATGATCCTAAACTTTATCTTAATGTGATTCCTATTAAAAATAATAACTGAAATTGTGGGTGGCAAATTCCACGGAAAAACTATGCCTCACAATCATTGTCATCTCGTACATATTATTTAAACAAAGATCATTAAACAAAGAAGTATTAGAACAGCAGCTGTTAGTATACAATGTTTATTCTTTAGAAGGTTTAAATTTCATATTCTTGTTAGATAAGGCATCTCAGACATCTGTTTTAAAAAAAGTGGTTTGAACAAAATAAATGTTTTGCTTTAGCCGTTGATTTCGCCTCCTTTTAATTTAATTGAAAATTTAGAGATAATTTAACAAATGAAATTTATAAAAATTTGAAGGAGTATTCAAGTTTAGAATTTCTTGTTAACTCTATTTATGATGCATGGAATGAGGGTGAAGAAAGTGACGGCAAAGGCAAGAAAAAAGACATTCGTTTTATATCTAATAAATGTGTAGAATTGATAGCTGGAATAGAACAAAAGTCATTTATTGATGAAACTCATAACAGCGGTTCATGAAATTCAATAGTTGTTTCTTTATCAGAAATCAAAATTTTGTCAGTTAGAAGTTGATGAAATGTTCAACGAATTAATATGTGCATTTTGTGTTTTTTTTAAACTTGTTTTTCTTGTCTAAATTTGTAAATCTTTTCTATGATTCAATCTTTTTTTTCCCTTCTAAATTTAGAAGCTTTTCGTTTTTTTTCCTTGTTTGAAAATGTGTTGCTATTTTTCATTGTAATTTGGATTTGGTAAAATATCGATAAACAAAGTATTTTGACAATGAGAAACTTTGGAATAGCGATATTCTCTAGTATTCTGGACAACTGGTTCTCTACTGTACAGCAAAGGTCTTTTTGAAATCTTGTTTTGTAAAGTTTTCCCTTTCTTAAAATGGCCTTTAATACTATTTTTAATCCATAATATAGATCATTCATTACATAAACTTTAAGATTTGATAAACCATGTTTTATCAATTCCTTTTTTATTGAAATCTGTTTATGTTTTCCTTTTTTTCTGGATCTTTTGAAATTTATTTTTGTACTTTTTAAATTTTAAACACTATTTATCTTATTTAAGTATTTTTATGTATTTAGATGTCAACACTTGATATATTTGCATCTCGAAATACCAGAACATTGAGTGATGATCAAGTGTTTGCCAACAGACAAACTACAAGGCATGTCTGTGCTGCTTTAAAGCGTTATTTTGAAGCTCATTTGGCATCAGAAATTGAAAATGTTTCCTCACCATGTAACAGTGATAATCAGTCAACGCGCTTAAGCAAGCATAAGGTTTGTGAAATAACAGAGCTTTTTTACTTTGTACCATACATTTATGCTTGCCCGTAATATTAATCACAACTTAAAATTTTTTTGTAATAATATGAAAATAAAATATCTCAATTATACTATCATAAATAGTTATGCTAAATGTGAAAAGTATACTATAAAAAATTATGTTATATGCTTATAGATAACATTTTAATGAGTCTCTAAATTTTTTGACATTCAGAGTTTCATCTGAGATTTCCCATTCTTTAAACAAGTTTAGTAGTATACAAAGTTTTAAATTATCACGTAAAATGTGATATTAGCATAATTGCTTTGAGAATTTTCACACTTGACTAATTTTACATAAAAAATAACATTGTTGATTTACTTGCGAGACATATATAGCTAATGTGTAGACCTTTTGAAGATGATAGAAACATTCAGTAATTGTCTACTATGTGAATAAATAACAAATTTATTTGAGCATACATTACGTGCATCAGCCGATTTCACTAGCCTTTGGTTTGTCGTAATATACCGCGTTATGGCAATGTTTTGCGATATAATTATTTATTTCCACTGATGCAATTAATATTTCCTCCGACAGTTTACTTTTTACGAAATATATTTCCCAGTGCTATTTGGAGTTGAAGATAAATTATCAAATTGATAATTTAGCTTCAAGTGTTGGATAATTCAGTGAACATGTTATAAGGAATACATTGGTGCTTGTGAATTTATATGAGTTTATATTATTTAAATTTATCGGTAGTAATCAAGGGTTTCCTAATTAAATTTCATTAGTATACAAGCTCACATTTTTACAGCATCTTGTGATGATCAATTTTGCTTTATTAGAATATTCTAGAAAACTTTTATATTTAACTCTTAATTAAAATCAGATCACTTTATTAAATGGTGAATGAAAAAAAAAATGGTTTTAATGAAATAAAATATTTTGTGTAATTTTAAAAAGTTATTAAGATTTTTCACATTTATTCTCTAAGATATGATTTAAAGAACATAAAATAAGTGCTTTTATATTTATAATTTATTATATCTGTAACATTAATTTGTTTAATTTTACCAGAGTCAGAAATTGAGATACACTCTTTTCTTTTTTATTACTGCTTAAAACAAAACCAAATATTCATTATAAAATTGGACTATCTTATTAAAGATACATATAGGCAAAATATGAATGATACATTCAGAAAGTTATTAGTATCTATTGATCCTTTCTGCAATATTGTATTTTTGAGCTGTCAATATTCAATCTATTTGTGACTTGAAAATGTGATTTGTAATTTGAAATTTATTTCCTTGTTTGATTTGAAGTCTTCAAGCATTTGAGCATATTGTGTAGAATTGTCTGCTTAATTTACCAAATTGAAGTCTACTTATTGAAAATTATAGGGAGAAACCAGTTTGATATGATCAAAGCAGTGAGATTGTTAGACAAAAATTCAATATCAAATGCTCAAAGAGTTAATTAGTTCATGATATTTCCCTTTTAATTAAATTTTTTATTTTATAGGCAATGAATCTCAGTTACAAAAGCATCGAGAATTATATTGAACATTGGCATGAACTTTTAGGTCCCATGGTGTCATGGCGACCAGTTGATGAATTTTTGCAATTTGATGGTGTTTCTTTTCTATTGGAATTAACATCTGATTACTTTTCAACAAGCAGTTATTCTGGACGTGCCGAGACAGTCAAAAATGCTTTAGACGTTCTGAAAGTTTGTTCTCTTTCCAGTGCCACTCAACTAGCATTTTGCGAAAAAGTTAACACTACTGAATATGTTGCTACTACTGGCATAACGTAATTATTTATTTACTTATCTAAAAATTTATGTAATTTAAATTTTAGTATACATAAGATAATTTTTGTGACTGATAAAATACATTGAAGATTCTTAAAATCCTTGAAAAGCTGTTACTTTATAATTGTTTTTTTTATGTTTTAAAAGTGCTTATTTTAAATATGATGCTTTTAGTGAGTGCAAAGAATTTTCGTTTCTTAGGTTTGTAGTCAATTTCAACTTAATGTATGCAAGTAATCTCAGTTTTTATTAATTTCATAGTTTTTTTTTCTCAATTGAAAGTCTTCTATTGGGGAAACAAGTATTTACTGTACCAAATTGAACTTTATCTGGGTTGTTCAGTATTTCAATAATTAGAGTGATTTCAATAATTAAAGGTGTGCAGTTTTGCTCGTTCAACTGATTCCTGTGACTTGGGTTTGTAATTTATTATTTTGAGTTATATTTGAATTCTCGTATGGTTTCTAAGTACCATAGACTTCTATATAGAATATTATGCACTGTACTATTTGTTCAAGGAAACTTTTTAAATACAAAGAGAATTTTTGAGTTATAAGAACACCTTTTATTTATGCAACTTAAGTTTGAGTTTACAAGACTAATTTAAGGAACAAAATTAAATGAAAAATGTTGAAAAGTAATTATTATTTATGTGTAATTTTTATTTGTTTTCTGATACAGCATTTTAACAACATGTTTGTATTGAGTTTAAAAGGAAATGAATGACACAAATGTCATAGGGCAGAATGAAATTTGGAAATGAGAAGTACATTAGTTAGATGTAATGTCAGAACATGCAATTACTATTCTGCCATTTATTTGGGCGATCCTGAAAATTTTTGTTTAACCATTTTGTAAAGGTATTGTCGCAATACTTAAAACCAATTGCATTCTCAGTCTCCTAATCATCATGCACAATAGCTTATAATGTTTCTTGTGCAATCCTTGTCACTTCGCGTATCTTGTTAATTACTATACGTATGTTCGCCTTAATCAAACCTGAAATGGCTGCCATATTTGTTGCTGATCATGCTACCTAAGAATTGTATGTATTTACCATTAAATCATCCCAAGTAGAGTGTGTCAAAAAATTATTATTCAAATGTGTGGTCTAAGATTATATCATACTTAAAAACATCTGAGATTATGGAAACGTGACATCCTTACCTTCAAAAGTAAGACTATGTTTTGGGTGAGATAGAGAATTAAAGCACCTACTAATTACAAAGGTTATAACTTTAAAATAAGTTTTATTCTTGGAAGATAAATGTAAAATTTTTACTGTAGCAATGATAAAAAATATTCTTGAAAAATCGCTCTTCACTTATGCCATCATTAGGAATTACCGTCATGTGGATTCTAAAAAATTAAGCTCAAACATTTTTGACTGTTATATGATAATAAAAAATACTTTCAAGTTTAACCTGATTCAACTTTATCAAAGAAACTGAATGTTATGAGATTCTGCTATAAATAATATTGTCAAAGTAAAAACTTTTGCTAAATTCTATCAAAGTTTCAGTTTTTGAACCTGCTGGAGAACCTGCTTTCTTTTTAACTACATAAGAGAAATTGATGGCTTTAAGAAATTATAGAATGATTTACAGAATATAATGACTCTGTCTCATGAACAAGCTATGGAGTTCTCTTACAATAAGTTAACCTAAGTAGAGAATTTAAAATAACAATCTTTTGTCTGTCAGAGGTGAAAAAGAATTTTTAAAGAGTTCAGAGCTTTTGGTATTTAGAAAAGGACCTAAATTTGAAACATGGCGGAAGTGAAAGAGGACATAAAATGCAATATATCAATCAAATAGTTTTGAGTGCTTATCAAAAGATGAAGTTAGAAGTAGGCAAGACTGAAGCAAATTATTGCAAACAAGACAAAACAACTGAGGGAGACTTGATTAAAATTTCTGTATCTTATTTTGTTTGTTTAAATGTATTGATTATAATTAATATTATTTATTATTGAAATGTTGACTTTATGCATTCATGATTGACAGATATATTTCTATTACTTTTTAATTAAGTAGTTTATATATTTTCATTTTAGAAATTTTATTTATTAAAGTACTAAAAAACAAAAACAAAACTTTTAAATCTAAGTTATTAAAACTTCTATGAAAAAAATGTGCGTAAAAGCAGCAGAAATTTCACAAAAAGGATAAATGTAGCAATAAAGGAAACGAAGGAAATAAAAATATGACCACTGAAGCCGACGTCTTCAGGGGGTACCGGCCCCAGTAGTCATAAAACAAAACCTTTTCTATTGAGGGGGAGGCAAATGCCTAAAGTAACACCATCAGTACCCCGAAGGTTTTGCATAGAAGTCCAGGAAAAAACATGAAATACAAAGAACCAATTTAGAAAAGAAACTCAAACAAATTCATCAGAAAATGATAACTCAAAACTCACTTTAACCAGATCAAACATCGATTTCATAAGCACACTGAATGAAAAGGAAACACTAAAACTAAAGAAACCAACCATTACATTGCGCAGATTGAGAAAAAAGAATTCAAGAAAGAGATATGTAACAAATTAATAGAATGCTCAACTGGGGCTGCTCAGATAAGACTTGATTTGCGCCCTGTTAAAAGAAGAAAATATAAAAAACTAGAATTCTTCAATCATTTTCTTAATTAGAAAATTAACTTTACAAAAATTAAAAGGAAAATCATTATTACTCAAATTATTTAAAAAATTATTCACAGCTTCCCGAAAACTTTCAACATTATTGCAAATATTTTTAATCCTAACCAATTGCGAAAAAACCAAATTTTTGAAAATTTTGTTACACAAATTAGTATTAAAGTTACAGAAAAAAATAACTTTAAATTTAAAAGCTTTTCTTTTATCAAAAACACCAATTTTAATAAAATTGTCAACAATATCAATTTTAAAACCTAATATTCAACATTAAAGCAATTCTCATTAGTTTTCTTCAAAATCAAATCTTTAGGATAAATACTATAAATAAAATTATAATTATCACAATTAAACAAAATCAAATCATCTATATATCTAAAAGCATTAAATTCATTATGCTCAAGAAATTTTAGCTTCAAAAACGATTAAATCTCCTGACAAAAAATTTTAAATTGCTAGGTTACCACAGATTATTCATAGTCTTTCTGATTTTTTTCCTTTAGAGCAAATTAAGGTTTCTGCTGCTTTTAAATATTATTCTACGCTTAGAAAGAAAGTGTGTAATTATAATTTTTTAAGTCGAAATCTAAATTGTATTTGTGAATTTGATTGTTATTGTAATGAAGAGGATTTTTCACAACATATTGATAATGATTATGGACAGGTTAAGACGGGAAATTTGGAGATTGTTGGTGATAAAGATTTAACCAATATTTTAAGCAAAGGTTCAAAATTTAGGACAAGGGTTAAAATGAAAAAAGATTTTATTTTATCTATTAAAAATGATCTTGATTTTTTTATTGCAAAAATTTCCAGAAAATATCATTGGCCCGTAGAGGGGTTTTCAGAGTGGAAGGCTAAAATTATTGAAAGGTTTAATTTTAATTTATTTAATACCAGGTTTAGTTCATTTCCTAGTGGTACTTATATTGATTATGAATTATCTAGGAAAATTTAGAATCTTAAAGATAAATTCATTGTTACTGTAGTGGATAAAGCTTCAAATAATTTTTGTATTATGTGTAAATATTTTTTCAAAAAATTGACTGTTGGAGAATATAGCGCAAATAATACTTATTTAAAATTAAAAGAAGATAAAAAAGTTATTGAAAAAAGAATTATTGCATTTAGTAAAAAATTAAAGTTTAGGTTAAATAGGATTACATTTCCCTATTTATTTCCTATTGTCAAATTTCTTAAAAATCCGATTAAATTTAGATTTATAGCATGTGGCACTAATTGTTACAATTCTGATATTAGTAAAAGGTTTTTTAGTTTTCTGAAAATTATTTTGCTTAAAATTAAAAAAGAGAAAAATATTGTTATAAATAGTAATGTTGAAGTTTTGGATTATATTAATAATGATATTTCCAGCATTAATACTTTTGATTTCGAAAATTTGTATACAAGTATACCACATGAAAAGATTATTGAGATTTGTGAAGGTATTTTTGATAGGTATTGAGAAAATTGATAAGTCTAATTGGTTGGATTTATGTTGGTTTAATCTTTTTGAGAATGTTCTTTTTAACGGTTTGGATTTTTATAAACAAATTATTGGAATTCCACAAGGTAATTCCTTTTCTGGTGCCTTTGCTAATATTTTTCTGCATTTTTTTGAAGCTAAATTTCTTGAGCATAATGAATTTAATGCTTTTAGATATATAGATGATTTAATTTTGTTTAATTGTGATAATTATTATTTTATTTATAGTATTTATCCTAAAGATTTTATTTTGAAGAAAGCTAATGAGAATTGTTTTAATGTTGAATATTTAGATTTTAAAAATGATATTGTTGACAATTTTATTAAAATTGGTGTTTTTGATAAAAGAAAAGCTTTTAAATTTAAAGTTATTTTTTTCTGTAACTTTAATACTAATTTGTGTAATAAAATTTTTAAAAATTTGGTTTTTTCGCAATTGGTTAGGATTAAAAATATTTACAATAACGTTGAAAGTTTTCGGGAAGCTGTGAATAATTTTTTAAATAATTTGAGTAATAATGATTTTCCTTTTAATTTTTGTAAAGTTAATTTTTTAATTAAGAAAATGATTGAAGAATTTTAGATTTTTATATTTTCTTCTTTTAACAAGGTGCAAATCAAGTCTTAACTGAGCAGCCCCAGTTGAGCATTCTATTAATTTGTTACATATCTCTTTCTTGAATTCTTTTTTCTCAATCTGCGCAATGTAATAGAGGGCAATGTTTTCTTTAGTTTTAGTGTTTCCTTTTCATTCAGTGTGCTTATGAAATCGATGTTTGACCTGGTTAAAGTGAGTTTTTATTTTCTGATGAATTTGTTTGAGTTTCTTTTCTAAATTGGTTCTTTGTATTTCATGTTTTTTCCTGGACTTCTATGCAAAACCTTCGGGGTACTGAGGGTGTCACTTTAGGCATTTGCCTCCCCCTCAATAGAAAACGTTTTGTTTTATGACTTCTGGAGCCCCTGAAGACGTTGGCTTCGGTGGTCATATTTCTATTTTTATTTCCTTTGTTTCCTTTATTGCTACATTTATTTATTAAAGGTTACTTTAGTTCTAGTTTTTTGTTTAAAATATAGGAAAAAACTGTTTTATATTTTGAGAAAGTGTTCCATATACTTTCGAAAATAGGTCCCTAAAAAAGCAGGAATTGGCAATACGAAGGTCTTAAATTTAACTCAAAGATAAAAGTGGGAACCTGATGTACATAATATACACTAATGCAGAAAATTTTATTGTATTATAATAAATATTACATTATAATAAAAAATGAACAGTATCTTCGATTTTAGATATACAGCGAAAGCCAAGTATGTGGTAAAACAAAGTAAGTCAATAACTAGTTTTATATCTGCTAAAAACTACTAAATTTAAAGAAATATATGCTTGTATGTAGAATAATCAATATGAAGTCTTATAAAATTTAAAAAGTTTTTAAAATATTCAGTGTAAAAATTTGGTTGGGGTGTAAAAGCTTAAACAAGATTCAATAAATTGCTGCAGAAAGTTTTTTGATTGAGATTTTGTGTTGGTAGAAAGTACCAAAGTTGGAAACTATATGATATTGGTAACAAAGAAAATCCTCTTTGTATAAGCAAGTATTAAAACTTTTAAAAAAAGTATTAAAACTTTTTTCATATACAGAGACTTTTTGTTACATATTAAATTCATAAAAAATATGTTCAGTATTGTTTTTATAGAAAGGCAACCCTGAACATAACCCAATACTCAGGCAAAAATAGAAAAAAACAATAGAAAACAAATTAGCATATCTTATCTATCTCTCAAGTTCTCTTCTACTATCTTTACTTCAGAGAAAGAAACATACCATTGTTCTTTGAAACAAACAAAATGATGAATTTTGTGATTTTGATAATATGACATTCTACTTAAAATAGACTTAGAGTAATTAATTTCTACCTCATTGTTTATACTGCATCAATGTCTTGTCAGGCTTTATTACCAGTGTATGTCAGGCTTTATTACCAGCGTCCTGATTTTTATGAACTTTTTGGGCTTATAAAGATGACTTATACACTGGGAATATATAATTCTGCTTTCCCTTGCCAAAGAGGCATCTCTATTGGAGCCTCCTGTGTCGCCCACAAATTTGAGAAATGTTAAACAAATTGTGAAACTGAAGCTTTGAAGTCTCCAGGTTTCTTCCAACAGAGAGCAAGTTTCTGGAAAACCTTGGGAGAGCCTTCTGGCATCCTGTCTTCCGAAAGATCTCCCTAAGGCTATCAGTGTTTCTTCTTTCCGATTGGTGACGGGGCACGATCACTTACAGGCGCACTTGCACCGTGTTGGTCTTTCTTACTCTCCTAACTGTACTCAGTGGAAATAGGGCCCATATGAATGGCGGGCATCTATGGAACTGCTCTGCCCTCCAGGAGACCCGTAATTCTTATAGTTTCAAGACGCTCTTCTCCCCTGGAGATATTTCTTTGTTATGTCTGACTGCAAGACTTCTCATGCTCGAGAGAGCAAATGATGAACGTATTTAAAAAAATTCTGCTTTCCTGTATTTAATCATGTAGTTCTAAGCCACTGAAAGTTTTCTCTTGTTATTCGTTCAACAGATTGTGTCTTCAATGCAACGATGAAAAACTATTTTTCTATCTCTAATTACATTTGATCACTTAATATATCTGTTATCGTTATCTAAATGTTCCATAATATGTAAACTCAATTTTTCCACTAAAAGTTTTTTTTCTTTCTTAACAGTGTTCTTCTTGCTGCCGCTGAAGGGGAACTATTACCTGTTGCAGAAATACAAAAATCTGCCCTGCAAACAATTATAAACTGTGTATGCACAAAAATTGAGGTAGTATCTTTGACTCAACTGGTTTAATAAATAATATATAATAATATATTTAATAATATATATTATTTTATAAATTTTGATTTGTCAAGTCATTATAAATGTTTTACAGAATGAAACAGAGAGGCGTACCAAAAAGGTGGAAGAGCTTTTATCTAAGTTGTGTGAAAATGTTCGCATTAAAAATGGTATAATGACTTTGATTAATTTGCTCTCAACAAAAACACCTCTTACTGATGCTGATGCTATTCGAGCATTAGCATGCAAGGTATGTATTCTTTTGGTTGATATTATTGTTTTTTTCTTTCTTTTTTCTTCCTCGGATTTGTGGATTTCCATTTTTTTTCCTTTCAGATTTGTCCATTTTTCTCTCTAATTTCCACTAAATTTTTTTTTTTTGCACAAGTTAAAATATTTTATGAGGAATTTAATTTTCCTCGGAGCAAAAGTATTGAAATCCTCATTCCTCACTCTCAAGTTTCTAAAAATCATTTCCTTGGGATAAAACTGGTTGACCTTTCTACAGGGATGAGATTTTTCCGCTTTTTTTTGCTTTTGTCTCTCTAGTTTCAGCCTTTTTATCAAAATTCCAGTTCTCTAAAAGTTTCGTTTTTTTTAAGTATCCCGCTTTTTTAAAAAAAATCAGTTGTTGAAATAAAGTAATTATATTTATTTACGATTTTCAAAGATAAACAGAAAATTCCTAGCTGATAACCCTTTTGCATTTTTACTTATTGTAACTATTTTCTCCGCTTTTATGCACAGAAAAGATTTTCTGTATTTTTATCCGCCCGCTGGATAGCTCGTATTTTCGTAATTCAGACGTCGCTGCTTCCTGTTTTCTGGCGTGAAAGCAAACGAGAAAAAAAATTGAGATGGATTTTTTGAGAAAATATTTATTTGCTTATTCAATTAATCTTGTAAATTTCTATTTTTTATGTCTAAACAAAAACAATACAAACAAGCCCTTCAGAAATCCCATGTCCAGGCTCCACAAATATCTCGATTCTTATTAATGCGATTTTAATATCAATCATCGATTTTCATATTTACCTGATTTAAAAGTTGCGCATTGTGATTCTTATTTACGAGATTTAAAAATCCAATATGGCGTTTCATATTTATTCATTTTTTAAAATCGCGATTTTATTATCAAACATCGATTTTCGTATTTACCTGATTTAAAAGTTTAACGTTGCGATTCTTATTCAGGCAATTTAAATATCGTACATTGCGATTCTTATTTATGAGAATTAAAAATCCAATATCGTGATTTGTATTTACACGCTTTTAAAACCTTATGTAGCGATTTGTATTCATGCGAGCTTAAAATCCAATGGCTTCATTCGTTTTTGTGGTTGTAATATCAAACATCGGTTTTATATGTGCTTTAAAAATTAGACATTGGGATTCGTATTCCCGTGATTAAAAAATTATGCATCGTGATTCGTATTTACGCAATCTAAAAATCACTCATCATGATTTGTATTTTCGCATTTTTTAAATTCGATATAGAGTTCACTTTATTTAAAAGCCTCATATAGGGATTCATATTTTCTCTCTCTCTCTCTCTCTCTCTCTCTCTCTATATATATATATATATATATATATTAATTTTTGGATTTCCTCTTTTTTATTTTCTGACTACTCTCATCCCTATTTAATACAAGTTTTATTGCATCTGCATTAGTTCAAAGACTGCTTTTTGATAATTTGTATTTTTAGTTTTATAAAATTTTCTTTTAAGTTTGAAATTGAACTTTATTCTAAATAAAACGTACACTATAGTTTGGCAAACATTCCTACTGCCTTATTTTTCAGAGTACCGCTTTTGAACAAAGTTTTTTTTTTCACGTTTGCTTACACTGTCAGAAATTACGTCAGAAAACCCCTTTTTCTGTGTAAAAAAACAGCCACGTGACCAGCAGAATAATTTATTTCTTTTTTATTAGCAGTTAGCCATCTTACATTTTCATTTTAGTTCCATTTAAAATAATGAGTTGAATTTTGTATTGATATTCAAATCGGGATTAGTCTGATCTTTTTAATCCTTCGCTTACGGCTGGCACAGCATATGTGCGTTTCAAAAAACTCTCTCGTAATGAATCAGCAGTTGTACCAGCATTTTCCTTCCCCGGAACTTGCTTGACTGTCATTTCTTCAATCTCCTTTTTTTATTTGACCCTTTTGTTGGAAAAGAAGTGTGAATTTGAGCTTTGACTAAATTAGAATCTTTGACTTGGCTGATAGATATTTGTTATTTTGATTATTTGGCTAATTTTAGGTGCTCATAAGCTTTTCGTTGTCTTTTTGGTAGCTGTGCTATTATTTAATTACCTATTTTCATTTGAGATCTATTTCTTAAAATTACTTTATATGCAAGTTTTTTTTTGTTTTTTAAATCCAGAATCTTTTCTTTTTATTAGTAGTTTACTGTGTTTAGAATTTTATGAAAATTCCCATTATTTCTTTGTGAAAAAACTTTGCTTTCCATACTAAATATTTTTTGTAAAATTTCATATATAAATATTTTATTTAATTTTGTCGCTAAAAAACTAAACATCATGAGACTTTTGTAGTTAAAATGAGCCTCTTTTAAGATCCAAGTAAACTAAGAATAAAAATGTATTCAGCATCTTGTGATCAAAAAAAGAACTAATTTCAGAGACAAAAAAAATAAATAAATCTAAACTGAATATACTTTTTTCTGATTAAAAAAAAATTGATGGCAAAAATTTTAAAGAGAACATACATAAGAATAACAAAATCCAAAAATAAAAACTAATATAGTGTCAACTCTTCTGGGATTAAAAATACACTAAAATAGAAAAAGGCACTAATGTATCAAATAAATTACATTATAAAGACACTATAAGTCAATTATTTTGTGTTTAAAAATCAGAGTAAAAACTTAATTTGTGAATCTACGGGGAGCTGTGTAGAATTTATTGGGAAAAAATACTTGCATATGTGATTACATTTTTTCAGTTATTTAACTGCCACTTTTTATGATTTTTAAGATTTTTTTTCTTGACAGTAAAATATGTTTGATTCTTTTGTTATAAATTTATTTCCCGAAAGTTTTGATGACCAAGGCACATCAATGTTTAAAAAACTCAACTAGTAGAGGGTTTAAACCTCTAAGGCTTTGCTTTCCAATTTTTTTTTCTTCCGTACTGTAAATGACTGAATTCTCTCTTGCTCCTAAATCATAAATGCAAAATTTTTATGATTAAAGTTTTTTTTATAAAACTAATCAGACTATAAAAATTTGTGAAATTTTGTATGTTTTAAATTTAAAATTTTTGCATAATATTTTAAATTATAATGTAAATTTTCATTGTAGTATTTGATTTTATATAAATAAAGTAAACTTACCCTTGAATTTTCACCCTTATAATCTAACTTTCATAAGTAAAATTTAGAAAATAAGTGGAATCTTTGATCTTGTTCATTGAATTGAGTTTCTTGAAATTTGACTCAAAGATACCACTGAAAAACTCAAATCAAGAACAGCATAAAGTTTGTTACTACATTTAATAAGGCATAAGATGAGAAAGCTGTCTCATCGAGTTCTGTATTAATGAAAGGCAATAAATAATTTGCTTTATTCTCACAAAATTCTCTTTCTCTTATTTTATGCGCAAAAGAAAATTTTTTTTGGTCAGACTGGAATAAAAAACCGAAAGAAAACTGAATCTAACTTTCTTTTTCAAATGCTGATTGTTTTTGAGCTTGTTAAAAAGATATTTAATGGAAGGATTTAAAATCTTATTATTATTCCTTTTTAGTAAATACTGTGGGGGGAAGACTTGATTCATTTCAATTTCTAACACTTATCCATTTTTAGACAGAAAAATTTCTCAGATAAAAGCTATTCAAATTCATTTTAAATAACCATATATATAAAAGAACAACTAAGTTAACCTTTCAAAGTCTGAATCTACCTTGCTCAAAAGGAAAGAAATGTAAAAAAAAAAATTTTTATCTGAAATTTTATGCACAAGGATTTAAAAGAAGAAGAAAAAAACATTAATATAATTTATTTATTCTGAAAAAATATTGTGCGTACATTTATGGAATGATGAGAGAACATCTGTGGAATTATTTTTGATGTGTGTGTGACTTGAAACAGCAAATTTTTTCTCAATGAAAATTCACCACTTCTCAAAATGCCTTAAACTATGTGATAAACTATGGAACTACTTAGAAAGGAATTTTTTTCTGCCCCGTGCTGTAAGTTCTCTGAGAAACATATTTTATTTTCAAAGTTTCCTTGAAATATTGCTATTGAGATCATCACACAGGGTGCGTAGCATTTTTAAAAAGAGTTTAAAGGTGCTTATTTTCGTTTTTTTAAAAGCCCTTAAAGGTGCTTTTTTTATAGGGTGTTTTTAAAAAGTGCTTTATTTTCCCTTTTCCAAAATGAGATTCTTTCTTTACCATGTTTATTTTTGCCATGAATTCTGCAAAATGGCAGTGTACTATTCAATGTTTTCACAATTAATTCAGCCCCAGTTTATATTGGGGTGCCGTCGGTTATGAAAACACCATTCGTTTTACATGTTTGATGAAACACTTGCAGATCTGCATGTGCGTATTCTGAGCTAGATTCAGTGCACAGTGGGCCAGCATCCAAGGTTTCGTGGCCAAAGTTTGTATTTCTATAAGATTTGTTTCAAAATTTGGAGTTTTTTATGTGCAGGTAAATTGAATTTATAGTTGAAATTTTGAATTACACTAAAATTTCCATGAAAAAAAAAACAATGGCAGCTGAAATATGGCGAGCAAAAAATAAAATAATATAGTACGTTTAAATAATTAAATATAGCAGTGAAAATATAATAATTTTCGTAATTTTATATTAAAAATGAAAAGCAAATAATTTTTCTGAAGTAATATTATAAAATAACGCGAACTAATTACAAAATAACGCGAAAACATGAAGAAAAAAAACATAATTTTTGTTTTTCGGTATATTCAGCTCACCTCTGCAATATGGGCAAAATGGGGCAGGTTTTTTCAGAAGAAGAAACGGCAAAGAAGGCAACAAATAAAAGTTTAGCTTATTACCTTGTGGAACATTGTAAAATGTCAAATGATAAGATATAAACTATAAGTTTGTCAAGAGTATTAACTAATCCAACAAATTGAAAAATTGTACTATAATTTTAGACTAATTACTCATAAAAATGCAACAGTAAGGTGAAATTCCCCTATATATTTCTGAAATATAAATTTAAAAGTTAAATTTAGAAAAAATATTTTTAACATATTTTTCACTACATTGTACTCTTGTCGGTCCAAAAAGTAAATTATAATGTTTGGAATGATTATGAATACTTAATTTGGGCGATATTAAAACTGCCTACACATATTTTAGTTGAAAACTTAATTTTGACTTTTGGCTAAAGATCATGGTCTTCTGGCCCACTGTGCAGTGGGAAGGAGTTTTGCCCTCTCGTGTGCAACTCTGCTACATTTTGCAAGAGATTCTCAGCTTCAGAGTTCAATTCGTTATGAATTGAAAATTTAAAAATACCTCACATTTATAATAGGTAATGTCTGGGTGTGACGCGTGACGTGTCTTATCGGAGAAAAAATACTTTAACTTCTACTCGAATCGCATAGCAATTCTTTGTGTTTATAATTTAACACCGCGCATTTCTCAAGTAATTAGTTTTTTAATTGATATTGTTTATTAAGAGAATGTCGGCAAACAAACGAACAACGTTTAGTAAGAGCTACATAGAACAATTTCCATTCATTCAATCCTCAAGAAAAGGTGAAAGTTATGCGCTTTGTTCAACGTGTGCATGTGACTTCTCGATTTTGCATTGTGGGAAAGGTGATATTTTGAAACATATTCAAACAGATAAACATCAATGTAACTCAAATATTCTTTTGAGTAACAAAAAAATTGATCTTAAAGTTAACAACGACCAAAGTGTTATCTGTGCCGAAGCATTATTTACATCGTATCTCATTGAGCAAAACATCGCCATCAATGCCTCTGATCATGCTGGACCGTTATTTAGATGGATGTTTCCTGATAGTGAAATTGCACGAAAATATGGATGTGCGAGTATTAAAACTTCAGTAATAGTGAAAGAGATGGCAAAATCAGATAAGGAAAGTATTGTTGAGATACTTAGGAGAAGTCCCTTTTTAATAGCTACGGATGGCAGTAACAAAACTGACTGCAAATTATCCTATTTGTGTTACCTATTATAATGAAGAGTTATTGCGCGTAGAGACTTCACTATTGTGTTCACCAGTGTTATCATCAGAAGGCACTGGAGTCAATATAGCAAATCTGATATTGACTGCTCTGAGTGAATGTAATATTGATGTCAACAATTGCCTAGCTTTAGGGGCTGATGATTGGTAAGAAATCAGGGGTTGCTGGGATATTAAAAACTAAAATTCCTAATTTATGTGTCATTGGCTGCCCTTGCTCAACCTTCCTGCGGAAAAAGGGCAACTGTGCTCCCTTTATCCATAGAGGAGTATATAATTGACATTTTCTTTTTTTTTAGACAAAAACTCTAAAAGAAAAGAGAAGTTGAAACAATTTCAAAAATTGCATGACACTGAAGTTAGGAAATTGTTTAAACATGTGTCAACCAAATGGCTCTCTCTAGGCTGATCTTTAAATAAACTACTAGAGCAATGGGAGCCACTGCTATCCTTCTTCAAAGAAGAACTGAAAACTGAGCACGGAAAATGCAGTGCATTAAAAGATTCCGAATTTCCAAAAAAGGATAATTCTGAGGCTGGTACCTCAAAAGTTTTAGTAGCTACTGGTGCTAAAAAGAGAACCAATAACTGTGAGTTAAACTCATCCAACTTAAAGAAGTTTAAATTAAGCAAAGACTTCAATGATACACTATCTAAGAGTGTTTTATCCAGAGAGGAAAGAATATTCATGTTTTTATTAGATTTGTATAAGTCTTATTGCTATTTCTAAGCACATTGTTTACCTATATTTGAAGAACCCAATGTCCAACTTCAGTCAAGTTCTCCTCAGATACATGCACTTCACGATCTTTTATAGTCAACTTTAAAAAATTTTATGATTCACTTTGTCACTCCTTCAGCAGTTAAAATGTTGTGACTTTAAAGTTAGAGAGAAAAAACGAACTTTTCCAATCAGTTAGGAATCATTTCACAACAGTTTGTGATTATATGATCGTAAATTTCCATTCAAAGATGACATACTTATAAATGCTGAAGTGTTAAATTTGAATGAGATTGAAAATGCTTCATTTTCTAATACAGTAGAGAACCATTTATCCGGTATCCAGATAACTGGGAAAAATTTTGCTCGAATTTCCCGCCATTTTAAACTAGAACGATTTTAAACTAGAACGAAAAAAAGCGGAAATTGGACTCATCCTTGAAGTTGAGTAGAGGAAAATGTAAGGAAGGGGAAGATTTTTTCCCCCGTTTACCCAGAGAAACGTCATTTCCTCCGTGACCTTGAAGGCAGGGAAGGGAGGAATGTTTTATTTTTTCCTTTAGGCCGTCAATCAAACTCAAGGGTGTGGCATGCTGATTTCGTTTTCTGCTTGATTTACGAGGGGGGTGGAGAAAATGCATTGCATGCATATCAGTGAACAGAAAAAGAAAAGAGAAAAATATATTTATTTGACATCGACTAATAAAAGGAAAATCTTTTTCTTTTGAATAAATTCTTATTCTTTGGAAGTGCGGTATCAATTACAAGTTTTTCTTGGTGTGGAATCACATCTGCTGTAATTAACAATCTTGTTTTTATCAACAAAAAAATAAAATAAAAGGAGAATTGTTTATTATTTTAAACATAGGATTATTTTATGAAGCAGATTGCAGTTCTGTTTTTCTGATTCCACTACGTTTGATTTTTTTTCTTTTCGCGATAAATTTCGCACTAAATTAATTCTTTTAATTCATAAATTTTATCATTAGTTTTTTTTATTTTTTTTTTTAATTCCGTTGATCTTACCTTGTTTCGGGTTTTAATATTTATGCTAGTGCCTTTTTTAACTATCGTTTCGGTTCGATAATTTTCAAGTGTTTTTATTTAGATTAATAAGTTTTCCTTTTATTTTATCGTTTCCCCCGTATAATTAGGTATGAAATATATTGCATTATTTAATCATTGGTTTTGTTTATATTATTTAATTTAGGAATTGTAATTATTTTTAAAAAATAAATATGAGAATTTTGTATTTTTTAAACTTGATTTTCTTGTCTGAACTTGCAAATTTTTTTGTTCCTTTAAATGTTATATTTCTACCATTTTTTTTTCTTTTTAAAGTTAGGAGTACCTTTATTTTTTCTCTTACTTTATGCATTACACTTTTTCCTTGTACTTCGGGTTCGATAAAACATCGATTAACGACACTTTTTGGTCGATCCAGAAAACCGGGAAATTCAGATATCCGGGATAGCGATGGTCCCGAGCATCCCGGATAATGGGTTCTCTACTGTATAAGATTTTTCTGTAACAGATTTCCTGTCTTCTCAAAGATTTTAAATTTTGAAAATTCAGATGCTCTCTTTGATGAACTGGAGATTCAGTTCTTTTCTCTTCAGCTAGAAGATTTGCCCATTGATGTACATGCTGAAAGTAGAATGGATGCTAAGTGGGCAAAAGTGGCCAATTGCTCAAACAAAAAATATATTTATTACGTAAATTTATCCTTTCACTTTTCACGTTGCCACATAGCAATGCAAGCTGCGAACGGGTTTTTAGTCTTGTTACAAAGACGCAAACCCAGTTTCGCTCTCAGTTATCAAGTGAACATTTGGAGAACTTATTGACTATAAAGTCAAGCATGAGAGTTTGTTTTGAACTAAAATTTTCTGATACATTTTTGTAAAAGACAAAATCTTGCACTTTTAATTCTCTTAAACAATAAAGGGCTCTGAATATTGATGCTAAATTATGTTTTATTAATGAGTTATGTGTTGTAATTCATATTAAATAAATTTATGTTGCAGATTGAATTGTACATTGAAAATACAATGAAACACAAATTGAAAGAACAAATAAACATTGAGAAATAATTTTATGCATAATTTTTGTGAATGATTATTATTTTATGAATATTTTTTATGATTATTATTTTATGAAATATGAATAATAATGAGAAAATTTTGATTGGCACCTATAAGTTATCAAATTTGTCTCAATATACTATTCATAATGAAATTTATATCTCTTGCGCTATGCCGCGGTTGCGATAAAAAAAATGCCCTGCTTTTTATTTTGGTGAGGTTGGCAAATCTGATTTAGCATAAAAATACGTACCATTATTGAAATTTTAAAGATATCATATGCTCGAGAATTAAATTTTGAGTTTCTATTATTTTCATTTATTTTTTAAAGGGGTATAGAAATTTTTAGGCAAATAGACAAGTGCATTTTTATTAACCCGGGAGAACTCGCGCTACTTATCGTCACACGAGAGCGCGCGACGGGCTTCTTAGGCCCGGAGCGGATTTTTGCTTAAGAAAACGGTAAAATCAATTCGCTGAGCATAAAAGATTTGTGTTTTCAACTTAGAATTATATATGGGTAAATAAGAAATAAAATATTTTTTAAAACAGCAAGTTTAAAAAAGTTTAATGGTATATTTACAATAAAATTTTGAAAAACTTTTTTTAAGCTATACATGCAATTAATATTAAATTTTGAACAATTAAAAAATTATGAACTATTTTTCCAATTAAATAATGTTTATTACATTTACTATAATTGTAACGAAACTTACATATTACTGGCATATTCTGCAAATGACACTGCTATGCTCTCCGCATACATTTTTTGAACATTTAGTACAAGAAATTTGCGATTTTCTGTCAATTTTGCTGGGGCAGATATGACACCTTTTTCTTGAACATTTTTGTTTTTTAGCCGGTGGTGCTTCATAATTTTCATTGCGGCCGCTATCTATTTTTTCACGCAATTAGCGTGGAAGCGTCGGCTGCAAACTTCTTTTTTCTACATGCTCCTTCAGAAGCTCTAACGCCAGATCTTTCAAAAATAAACTCCTTTTTTTGTATTGGAGCAGTGGTGATTTCAAAATACTGAAAAATACTGTCATCGGCCATCTATTACTAATTCTTGCAGTGGAATAAGTAGCTGACATTTCATCAACTACATCTACAGCTCCCTTCGTCAGATTGTAAAATGTTATTATTTCTGGCTTCTGCAGTTGAAACATCAATTGCACCATTATTGTGCATGGTAGACAAAAGTACCACACATTTATTTTTTTTCGGTACGTAGGATACCAGAGTCGCATTCTACTGAAATCCAAATAAAGAGGAATACACTTCTCGTTTCTTCCCAGAAATGAATTCTTCTGGTAGTTCTCTTTTATTTTTTCTGACAGTTCCTTCAAATGTAATTTTCTTTTGAAGGAGATCTTTTGCTAATGAATAACTAGTATACCAATTGTCAACTGCGAGATTGCGTCCAGAGTTGTAAATCGGTTCCAATAACCTCCTGACAATTTTATCGGGAGTATTTTCTACTTTATATGGACCTTCTGGTTGAGCCCCTGCATAAATTTCAAGATTCCAAGTATAAAATGTCCTAGAAACAACCAAAGCGAATATTTTAATTCCATACTTGGCAGGTTTACTTGGAATATACTGACGAAGGGAACATTTACCTCTAAAGGGTTCTAACTTTTCATCTATAGTGACAAACTCCCCGAGACTGTACACATGTTGGCAGTTTGCAACAAATTTTTCAAAAATAGATCGTATGGGAGCCAATTTATCCTGTGCTCTTCTTGAAGAACGATCAGTAATATCATTGAATCTTATACATCTCATTAGGAATAAAAAGCGATTATATGACATAGTCCGATGAAAAATTTCAAGCCCTGTGCCATCGGTATTCCAAATATCACGGACATTTACATGTGAGGATTTGTGAATTCCCGCTAAATATAGAAGGCCAATAAATGCTCTTATTTCCGTCATATTTGTCTCACGAGCATCTCTTTTTCTTTGGAAATTGCCTGCAATTGATTGTATATAAATGTTTGTGCATTCCACAATACTCGTTATTATTTCGTCGATAAGCAACTTCCATGACTCGATAGGGCAGGATACGTTTCTTGCAACACCAACATTTCCAGGCAATTTTGTAACGATATTGTGAGCTGGAGTTCTCACGTTTCGTCTTGGTTCATTTTTATTTCATTTAGTTACTTTATCTTTGCCAATATAGTACCCAACGGATTCGGTAATATCAAAATCACTAGATGAATCTAAATCTTCTTCTGAACTTGACTGATGATCACTATATTGTTGCGTGTCAACAGTTTCTTCATCATCCTCATTAATAGATTCCTCATCAGTTGAAACTTCAGCTAATAAGGTTTCCAAACGCTTCATTTCTTCCTTATAGGTTAAAGAGCGATACATTTTACAGCCTCTCCCTTCACATTCAGAATCTGAAATGACAATCGCGAGCGCTCGCATCGGGCCTCAGAAGCCCGAATCGGAATTTTCTCAGAAAAGGGGGGGGTCGTACATTCCTGAAATGCGTGTGGTCAGTGTGTAGGTGACCTTCAACGTAGCTACCGTGAATCCGGTCCATTTTCGTTGAAGGGGTGATTTTCTGCAGTATAGTTTTGTAATGACCGGGCCCGAGAGGCCCGTCGCGAGTCTTCCCGGGTTAAAATGAGAAATGACAAGTTCATTTTCTATTGGAGAAAAAGTAAATAAAAAATTAATTAGAATTATGTATGCAGTATTTGTCATCTACACATAATCTGACAAGTATTAGCTGCATAACCTTTTCCTACTCACCCATAACTTTTATTAAGAAAATTTAAAAAAACTGAATAATATTTTAATAATGGAATGCAAGTATGACAACTAAATATTATAGTTACATGAATATTAAATACGTTGTGTGTATAAAATATTTTTACGCACCAGCCCTGCTTATTAAAAGTAATTAAATAACTATCATTAAACTTAACAAATTTTATCCTAAAAACAATATTTGAAAATTTATCTAATACAAATATTCCCATAAGCAGTATTTAATTTATTTATACTAATGTTAAACAAATTAATTTATATGAATGTTCTGCAAGCATTTCACAGTGAAAAAAAGTCAACTTTGCATTAAAATACTATAGTTTCATTTATTAAAATACAGGATCATACACAGATACACAAAATTTTTTTTAAACCAAGGCAAACATTCTTGATTTGTTACTTTTTCAATCATTTTTGAAGTAAAACAATTTTGTCAATGACAATGATGATGAATTATTAATAAAATGCCTATGATATGAAGGTCCGTGCATTAAAATAAGGGTTGCCTTAAAATTCTTTCGAAGGGTGCCCAGATGGTGCACCATTTGCAAACACAAGCATTCGCTGGTCTGTTGTAATGATTTTTTAAATTTTTCAAAATAATGTGCGCATTACATTCAACGCAAGCAACTCTATCAGGCTCACGTGCAGACATTTTACTGAAGTTTGTATTAGCAGGTGTTTCAAGTTCGCAGATGTCAAGAATGTCAAACTTCTCAAGTTTGGACATTCTCATAGTTACAAAAGCCAATGGGAAAGTGTCCTATCCTTATCTATTCTATGCTAGAGGGGAAAGTGGGGGTGATGAATGAGATGGGAGGAAATGTTCTGCAAGATTATGAGGGGAAGCTTTTAAACCTTCAGGTCATTATGGTCTGCAGAAGAATATAAGATTAAGATTAGGCTTGGGGATTGTTTTGCAAGACTACCAGAGGCAGGTAGGCGGGGGAGGAGGGTTCGCAGGAAAATGCTGTCACTCATTCAAGACACAAATTGCTCGGCAGGACTTCATTTGTTCTGCGACATGCGTCACAATTTTAGGCACTTTATGCTTCTGGGCAAAGATTAATGACTTAAGTATAATTTTTGTCTCTTAGAATATTTCTTTCAAATTTTGTAAGAATATGCAAAAACACATCAAATAAACAAAGTGTATATAATAAAAATTTGCATTTAGTCTCGCTTTCTAAACGGATAAGTTAAATAAACTTTCTAAATGTTAAAAAAAAAATGACGTTCACTGTTTTGTCCACATCTCATTTTAAACAGTTGTTAAAGCTTTACTTTTAAACTTAATCTTTCAGAGTAAATGTGTTTATAATTTTAAACCAAGGATAAACAACAAACAATGCTCTAATTATTAAAGAAAGGTGTTTCTTTTGTAACAGTTTCTTTATAATCCTTTAGAAACAATAAAATGCACATTCTTAAAAAAAAAAAAAAAAGAAAAGACTTGAATAATTTAAAAATGGATGCTTTTTATTTTTGAGTAAATGTTAATATATTTAGAAAAAATGTTTGAAACCATTATATATTTTAATTTTTCAATGCGTTACAAGAAAGTAAGCCAAAATATACATAACTATGCCAAAAATAACTACCGATCTACAACTCTGCTCCCTCCTAGGATCGTGTTTACAAATTGCAATGAAGTGTTTCTCATTCATAGCTCGTAAAAGTAGTTACCTTCCATTGTCTAAGTGGGAGATGAATTTTGGCAAGAAAACACTGTTGTGAAAGTGGAATTTTTTCATCTGACTAGCTGTTGCTAGGTTAACTTAAACTTGAAAGTATAGTCTTCCAAACCAGCATACAAGTAAACAACTGAAAATGTAACAAGAGGGGGAAAGAGACATGACTTTTCCTTCACCTGTGTTTCCCATTATCTTCTATTCTTAAATATTATTCAAAATATGCAACCACAAAACTTATCAAGCCACTGGTTATTAATTTCAAAAGAAAATTTTTATGCTTAAAAACTCCTTCACTTATAAGCAAGGTCTAACCCAGTTTTTTTGACATTAATACTTTTATAACACTACTATGAAGAACAAACAAAGTCTTTACTCTCAGCTGCTCTTAAAATTCAAAATGTTTGTTTTCAGCAAATGAAAGGGAATTTTCTCTAAACTCTAATTTAGACAAAGCCATTCCCCATATGATTTCTCTCAATTGCATTTGTTATTTTTTTCTGCATTCTATAGAAAAAAGTTTTTTTTTCTTCAATTTTTTTAACTTAAGTGATTTTATTAAATAGTACAGTAGGGAACAGATTATCCAGAACGGTCGGGACCGTCGCTATTCCGGATAACTGATTTTTCCGGTTTTCTGAATCGCTACAAAAAGCCGTTTTTTTTATTTCTAAACCCAACTAAAAAAAATTTGGAAAATTTATCGAATTTCGTTCCGGTTTTTTGGTTTTCTGATTTCCGGATAACGGGTTCTGTACTGTAGTTACCAAACTGCATGTAGGAAGGAGCAAACTTGATCTGTCATTTTACATGTCACTGTTAAGTATGCATCTTTTTTCGATCAAATTAGTGTAATTTTTTTACTACTCGCTATCATGATCACTGATTGTGTTTTTTTTAGTTTGTTTTTATATTTAGGTAGTATTTAAACCTTACCATCTTTATTACAGAGGCATGTTTAAAAGCAACGACTGCTTCCAAGCTTAACCATTTTCATTTAACTTTAAACATATTTTCACGGTCACTTAATTTCTGCTTTTATCTTATAGGAACTGTTCTTGTCCAATATGCTTTTATTCCAGTATTCTCTCTTTTGAAATGTTAACTGTTCTAAATTGTTTTTAAATATCAGTAAAATAAAATGTAATCCCTTTTTTTATTTATAATAGGTATTAAATTTGAACTTTTCTTAATAAACTTATTTATGTAATTTTGGAGAAACTGTACCTTACATTTTATTGTTATAGTAATTCTAAGAAAGGTGTTGTCCCTCAGATTCCATGTTTTTAATCTTCAAGAATTGTAAGCATTTTGTGGTTTGGCTAGCAGGGGTTTTCCATACTCTGTGAGAGGTATGTTTTTATAAAGTAGTGAAAAATCACATTTTGGGAATTTGTGAAATTGACTCAATTTTGTGAAACATCCAGTTTTGTGAATTTGTTAAAATACGGACATGAATTTTTTTTAAAAAAAATTACCAAAACCAGTTGTTGGTCAAACTTTTTGTAAAAGGTCCTTATTTGTGAAAAATCTATTCATAATTTTGCAAATAAGTGAAAATAAGGTTTTGATTTTTAAGAAAAAACCACTGAAACCATGTTTTTAGGGAATTTTTGTTAAATAATGTTGAATTTGCGCCTTTATTAGTAGGTTTTTTTTTTCTTTTTTGAAGGAACCATTTTCGTGATTAAAATTTTGTAAAGGATCCTCTTTAACAATAAACTATTTCTTGACCAGGTCTTTTTCATCATTAAAAAATATTTTGTTGGTTCAACTCAAATTTCTTTTAAAATGTTTCTATTCAAATTGTATAATTTAATGTAATTCATAATAATATATAACTTATGCAATTTAATGTAATTCTGAAGGAACTGTACCTTACATTATATTGTTAAAGTAATTTTTTAAAAAAAATTTGCCTCTTAGAATTCCATGTTTTTTAATCTTCAAAAATTTATTTCTTAAAGGCACTTTGTGGTTTAGCTAGATCTACTCATGTGAAGCAAATTATAAGTAAGCTGCGCATAATTACGGATGGTGAACTTTTACATTTAATGAAAGAACCTGTTTTATCAGACAAAAGTGAAGATCATCTGCATTTTGTAAAATACAGTCTTGAACTTATTGAAAAAGTAACCGGTGCTCCAGTATCAGTTGGATCTGAAAGTTCTATGCTTAATATCAACAAATCAGAAATAGTGGCTAAGACAAAAATTGTTTACAATGAAGCACAACTAATGCAACTTATATGTGAACATTTAATTGCCAAAGGTATTCTCTTCTTTTTTTCTCTCTCCTGTTGAAAATAATTTTGTGTTTATGTGTAATTAATGTTATGTATAAAAAAAAGTAGGAGATATCACTGTTATCATCTTTACATACTTGAGGAACAAAGAGGAAAAATACATTACATAAGGCTACCTTTGTGCCGAAGGTTGTAGGTTGCACTTTTGTTTTTACCGTGAAAAACCAATTATCCGGAATGCTCGGGGACCATCCCTCTCCCAAAGGTCTGAATTTTCCGGATCGGCCAAAAAGTGTTATTAATCGATGTTTTATTGAATCCAAATTACAATGAAAAAAGTAACACATTTTAAAAAGGAATAGAGGCTCTCCTGAATTTAGAAACAGAAAAAAATAACATTTAAGAGAATAAAAAACCTTTACAAGTTCAGACAAGAAAAACAAGTTTAAACAGACAATACAAAATTCACATATTTATTTTTTTACGATTAATTAACGTCACCAAATTAACTAATATAATGATTAAAGAAAAGCAATATATTTCAAACCTAATGTTAAGAAAAAAAGGAAGCGAGAAAATAAAACGAAAACTTATTATTTAGATAAAATAAAAACACTTCCAAACTACTAAATAGAAACATAGGTAATATGGATGGTTTTCTAATATAAATATTAAAACCCTGGACAAGTCAGGATACTATAAGATCAACTGTATTTTAAAAAACAACTAAATCTTAAAATTTATGAACCAAAAGAACTAATTTATTGAGTAAAAATTGTCTATGAATTTTTAAAAAAAGAAAAAAACTTAATACATAGTGGAAACAGAAATGTATAACTTTAAAAAAAAGAAAGCTGTAATCTGCTTCAGAAAATAATAGTCTGCTATTAGTAATAAATAATTGTATGCTTAGATTAATAAACAATCTTCTTTTATTTTTTATAAAAGCAGGTTATTTTTAACCAAAGCAAATTGATTGTGATTCCACATCAAGCAAAACTTGCAAATGATGCCTCACTTCTAAAGAATCAGAATTTATTCAGTTGAAAAATATATTACTTTGTTAATCGATGTCAAATAGATAAATATAACAGATGATAAATAAGACATTTTGGTCGTAATAATTAATCACAATAATAATGTATTATCCAAAATAATAAAACAATGTGTCATAATAAATCAAGGATAACTAATGTGGATTTTAAAAAAATCTTAAGTGTCAATACTCTTGAGACAGAAGTTTCAAGTTCCTTTACTCAGACATCCAATTAACAACACTCAGAAATGATTAAGAATAGTAGAAGAATCTTGTAGATTCACCTTATAATGATTTTTTCAGAGAAAACTCTTAAATTTTTTTTTAATTCCCTGCTGCACAAATTACGATATTATGAAAACTGGAAGAGTGAAATCCAGCAGTTTGATCGAGTGTCGAATTCTCTGGCAATAACTAATTCCCGGTCTTTGGGTAAAATTGCGTTTCCTGAGAATAATACAATTCTCGGGGTGTACGAATCTGTCATTTTACTTTCAGGCAATATCTTTTTTTTAATTTACAAATTTTCATTCCAGATTCTAAATATAATAGTATCCTAGTTTTTTTAAAAATATTTTATAACCGTCGTTGAACAGCGGACCCAATTTTGGGTTTTACAACTACTAATTTTCAACCTCGTAGCCTTGAAATTTTGAACCAATCCAGAAGACAGGGAAACTCCTGGATCAGTACCCCCAGAGGTGTAATTTGTTACGGGAACATGAAGGACTTAGAGCCTTAACAGATTTAGTGTGCCTCAGTCGCCATATACTACATGGAGAGTCTTCAGTCAGCGGGAATCGAATCCATGACCTCTTGGACATGGGCCTAGTGCCCAGGGCTTCAAGTGCTGCTCATTTTGCGCCAAACCGGTATATTTGCGCATTACTGCGCAGAAACGGCATTTTATGTTAAATTTGCGCCGAATCTGCACCAAAAAATATTCAGGGACCAATTAAACATTGCCAAATTTTAATAGCATAAGAAATTTTTTTTTCTCTTGTTGATTTCATCGTTATTGAAGTGCCATCGTCTTCGTCAATGGCAAGCTAATGGCTTTCTTGCGCTATTCTATTTATAGATTAGTACCATGATCTTTAAATTAACTAGGGGACCATCCACTAAGTACATATTTTCAAGTTGATCCTCAGAACAGTCAAGAATTACAAAGCTTCATAACTTCAAACTTTCCATCTCCCTTTTATTCATTTCATTTAATAAAGATAAGAATTAATTGAGTTTCATAACGTAAATTTTTTATCTGAGGGACCATCCACTAATTGCATATTGTTTTTAAACAATTATTTTACTTTATTACTTTTTTTTACTAATATTTTTTTTTTTACTTATTGCATTTTATTGTTGTATTATTACCTTCAAAATTTTCAGTGCTCTTATTTTGTTTTAGGAAATAACTTAATAATATTTAGAGGCAAGATTTTAAATAAGTATGAAGAGAGGGGGTTTCAATATTTTAAATGCAGCAAAAAATCTTATGTTTTTAAGATTTTTCATTCAAAAATACTTCAATTCATCTTTTAATGATTTGATTTAAAACAATTGATGTAAAAAACTTTAATTGTCACAGATTTGTTAAATATTATGAGTGTAGAGACAATATAATAATTTACTTCTGACAAATTTTTTTTAGCTTCAATACTCATTGTATTTGCATTTAAAAATTATTTAATTTTTTTTAATCATTTCATTAATGAAATACTTTATAAGTAACCAATTTTAATAAAAATTTATTAGGGGCAATTGACTAATTTACATTTGTAATATAAATTTATTAAAGTTTTCTTAATTTGCTTAATTCTTTACATATTTTTATAAATTTGGTATGATCAATATTAATCTTGTTAATGTTGTGTTGAATATACTATTACAAATAACATTTATTTAAATTTTAATAAAATTACACTCGATAACCTTAAATAATAGTTAAATTAATTAGAGTTTTGAATTACCTTTTACAGAATTAAATAAAGTAATTATTAATTTAAAAAATAGTATGAGCCACTCAATGTTGAATTTATTAAATTTTTTTTTAATATTTCGGCAATATTAAATAAATTTTTAGGTCTTTTCCACACTGAAACACCATTGATTCACTTGCTGTATGATGAAATGGTGTTCCTAGTTAAAGCATTGTTAGGGCGTTTTTTGAAGAGTTCTGCTTTTCATGTTTGTCAGGAAAGGACTTAAAATCATTGGATGTAGAAAACACAGAAATTTGGCAAAATTAAAATTTAATAGATGTTGGACTAGATACCACAAAGGAGATGACATCCTTATCTTCTTCAGAAAAAAATTATGTATTTAGGTGCAAGGTCTTTTTACTTGGCATGCGCAAAAAATTTATTAAAAGTATTGCCTCTTAAAAATAGGTTACTGTACCATCTTAAAGTGTTGCATCCTGTAATGAGACTGGAAGAAACTTCTATTAAGTTAATAAGATATCTGGCAATAGTAACCCCATCCATTATAAAGCCTGGAGAGGCATCTTTGTTACTAGATAAAGGGACAAGGTTACATGGGGAACCAGAAAGTTATTCTTCTGACTCAAATGAATATGCACAGATTGATGTGTTTTGGAAAAACTATTTTGTGAAGAAAGATAATTTTGGGAAATATCAAATATCCTCTTATAACATAACTCTTTTGTGCGTACCACATGGGAATGCCGATATTGAAAGAGGTTGAAGTGTGAACAAAAAGCTATTTGACAATAAGGCAAGTTTAAATTTGCATAGTGTGAATGGTTTGAGAGAAGTTGTGTCATATATCAACAAAATAGGGGTTTAAATAACTTTAAAGTTGACAAAGATATGATTAAAGTGGTTCGTGTAGCATTTAAAAATTATTCTGCTAGATTAGAGGTTGAGAAAAGAAGAAAGAAAAAAGCGAAAAACACTGAGACTGTGGAAAGCAAGATTGAAAGCTGCTGAAATTGATTTGTAAGAAAAATTGAAGGCTTCTCGGGATTTCTTGGCCGCAGCTGAAAAAAATATTAAAGATGGGTAAAATAATAAAGATATATCGGTTATAGAAAGCGGACAGATCCTCTTATCTGAGGCTAAGTCGAGGATAGCAGAATATTTAACAACATTGGAAGGTACCAAAAAGAAACTTAATTTGTTAATGCAGGGACCTTCAAAAAAGTGTAAAAAATACGATATTTTATTAATGAACAAAATTAAAAATTCTTGTTATTAAATTCTTGTTTTAATTCTATTTATTAACTATGCTCCAAATCTTTGTTTTGCTGCTCCAAAATTGCTTTTTTGTTGCTCCAAAGATGCTCCAAAACCATGTTTTGCCACTTGAAGCCCTGAGTGCCCTACCAACCCGGCTAACTCAGCCCAGTATCCAAGTTTAGAAAGTTTAGAAAAAGATAAATACTTTTTTATTATTTTCTTTCATTTTATTTTTTAAGACGTCATGTTTTTAAAAGGAGTAGCAAAACTTTGTCACCTTTTAAATAATGCGTTGAGAAAAACTAACTGCTGAAGAGAAATTGGTATTTACAAAACTACCATAATTTACCTTCTAAAAACCGATTGTAAAAAGAAACAAATTTACAACAATTGTGTTTACAGGGACAGATAGGCTTACCATATTTAAAGTTTGTCTATAAGGTATGGATTTTAATGATTGCATACCAATGAGCATAGTTCATTAAAAAAAAAAAAAACATTAATGATAAATTCAAATTTTTTTTTTTATATTTATAATAATATTAATAATTGTGTATAGTAAGAATTATAAATTTATTCATTAAAACAATTTTAGAAGGACACAACACACATTTGCCCATTGATAACTTATTATCCAGAATGATCGGGATTTCAACTAGTCCGGAAAATAATTTTTTTTTGATAATTGCTCTTTAAGGGAAGCAAACATAACATGCATTTTTCAATTAAAAAAAAATAATAAACTGACAATAATTAATGTCAATTTCATACAACAACATTTTCTTATAGGTTTAAAAAAAATCGAAATGAGCAGATGATAATGTGAGCTCTTTGTCTGAATAAAAGCAAGTTTTTCTCTTTTATTTCTCATTTGGTCCGAAGAATTACTTACTTACTTACTTACTTATCCTCTACATGCCTTTGGGCACTTAAGGCCTCTAGCATATCCCTCTTACGCCTCCTGTCTCTAGCAATAGATCTTGCTTCCTCTCAGCCAGATATTCTACATTCTTTTAATTCGCCCAAAAACATGCGCTGGATGGTAAGTCTGGGTTTTCCTCTTATTCTTTTACCATCAGGGGCCCATGTAAGCGCAACAGATGTTATTTTTTCTTTGGGCATTCTAAGGATATGTCCGAGCTAGCTCCATCTTCGTTTTTTAATTTCATCTTCTACTGTTTTTATTTTAGCTTTCTTTAATAGATTTTGACATGATACTTTGTAAGGCCTGAAAATTTTAAAAATAAATCTTAATCATTTGTTTTGAAAGGTTTCTAATTTTTGTATTTCGATCTTGGTCTGTTTCCAGGTTTATGCGCCATATAATAGTACTGCTCTAACAATAGCTTTGTTAACAACTATTTTTGTCTTTATTTCAATATTTGACTCTCTCCAAAATTTATGTAATCCCTTAAAACATGTTCTTGCTTTGGTTATTCTCTGTCTAATATCTTCACTACTTCCCCCTTTTTTATCTACAATAGAACCGAAATAGCTAAATGACTCTATGTCATTTATTTCGTGATTTTCGATTTTAATTTTGTCATTTTTCTTTTGATTTATTCTCATTACTTTAGTTTTCTTCTTGTTTATGAATAAATCTACACTATTTGAATATTTGTTGAATTTGTCTGTTTTAAGCTGAAGGTTTGTACATTTGGATGAAATAAGTACGATGTCATCAGCAAAACCAAGGTCCTCTAAAGTAGTTGTGAAATTCCACCTTATTCCTCTTTTTTCAACTTTCAAGTTGTTTTGCATAATCCAGTCTATCACCAGTATAAATAAAAATCCTGATAAAACACATCCCTGTCTCACGCCAGTTTTTACCAAAAAGAATTCAGTTAATTCTCCATTTACTTCTATACATGCTTTGCTGTTATCATGCATATCTTTGATTATGTTAATATATTTCTCTGGTATATTATAAAGTGATAAAATTTCTCATAATTTCTCTCTCTTAACTGAATCAAAGGCTTTACTGAAATCAATAAAGTTTAAATATAAAGAGGTGTTAAATTCTAAGCTTTGCTCAATGATATTTCTAAGTGTGAAGATTTGCTGCATTGTTCCATTTCCACTGCGAAGACCTGCTTGTTCTTCTCTTAAAATTCCATAAATTTCATGTTTTAGTCTATTCAAAATTATCCTTCCAAATATTTTTCCCGGTATGGAAAGTAGGCTAATGCCCCTCCAATTTTCGCATTTTGTTAGTTCGCCTTTCTTGGGAATTTTCACTATTACTGCTTCTTTCCATTGTTCTGGTATTCTTTCATTCCTCCAGATTTCATTGAAGAGCTTTTGCAACTGTCTTGAATCGGTTTCAAAATCTGCCTTAAGCATCTCTGCCACGATTCCATCTCTCCCTGCAGCCTTCTTTGGTTTTGTGGCCCTCAGGGCACTCTGTACCTCATCCAGCGAGATATCTTCCAAAGAAAAATCTACAGTAGATGCATCCGAAGAATTAACTGGGCAGATAATCAGATAAAAATAACATAAAAAAGGGCTCAAATTTTAAAAGTAAATTTAATTTAGTTAAAAAATAATAGTATGTAAGAAGTAACATAATTTAATAAATTTTTTTAATAAAAACATTTATAATTTCAAGGAAAACAAATCCTGCCTTTTGGTGTTCTTTAAAATATGTGTTCTCTATTAATATTCAGCTTCATTAAGCTTAGTATATTGTTCTAGCCAAAGTTAGTTTTTCTTTAAATGCTCTCGTCATTTCAACAACTGTTTTAGAGGGCTTAACAAAGCAGAATAAGTATTTAGATATCAGAAAGCAGTAAGATGTAAAATAAATTAATATCTTTTTTAACAGATCACAAACATTAGGAAAATTTTTTTTGAAAACGGAAAAGAGATTTGCTTATTTTAGTTGTTTTGTAAAATATTGTGTAGAAAATTGATATTTCTGGTAAATAGACGTCCAGAGATGAGACTTTGTACCGTAGTTGAAATATATTTCCCTATAATACTTTTTAATGGTGTTTGAGGCTTAAAATATTATCAAATCTTTTGTTTTAAATACACACACAAAAAAAGCAATTTGTAAATTTTTTTTTGCAAACCTGGTTTAGAGTTTGCTAAAATTATGTCAAGCTCATTCAATGTTTGAATAAGTTTTGATCGATGAAATTTTTCTGTGAATTCTATAATGAGGTACTTTTGTATTTTGTTCGCCCTTAGAACCTTTCTTTATTTTTCTAGTTATAAGTTTTTTATTTACAACTTAGTGAAAATGTGTGGTTAATAAATTTCTAAGGAGATATGGAATATTTTTTCTTGTGAAAAAAATTTGTAAAAAATCGATGAAATTTATATACTTTACCTGATGAGTGTTATGCATTAAGCATTGCTCTTAACATAAATTACCTTTAAGACAGAGGGAAATACCAGATAAGCCTATATTAAACACCTTTAACTGAGACAAATCAATGATAGACTACTTCAGTTAAAATTGTCAGAATTAATTTCAATTTAGTTAATATGTTATGAGTAGAAAATGTACATAGCTACACTTCTCAAAATTATTTACCTTTAGTGTCTTCTAAATAAAGATTCTTTATCAGCTCACTAATTTACATAATTTTGTTTTATATTATTGCCGTGTTTCACATTGCTTATCATTTTGAACTTTCATTTAATGATAGGTTTTACTGAAACAGCTGCAGTTCTTCAAAAAGAAATGAAGGATAAGAATATTTTTTCTCAGCCGTCTTCATTGTTTCTAACATCCTTAGCTTGTAGAAATAGTCCTGTGAGTATTGTAGTAGTAACTGTTCATTTCTCTTTTATAATTATAAATTTTCTGTGTTTATGTATGTATGTTAAAGGAGTGCTCTTATTGAAAATAATAAATATTTTTTTTAAAAAAGAACTCCTTTTTATTTAGAAAAGTATGACAAAGAGGTCTACAATGCCATCATCCCCTCATACACCTATATCATTTTCATCTTCAAATTCTGTGCCTACAATACCACCACCATCTGTTCCTCTAAGAATAGTAGTTACGAAGAAAACCCCAGTGAGTTACTCTCTTTATTATTTTTTTATTTTATAATATAATCGTCATTGAACAGCCAACCCAATTCTGGGCTTACGACTAAGTATGTTCAACTCCGTATCCTTGTAATTTTGATCCCAATACAGAAAACAAGGGAGCTCCTGGATCAGTACCCCCAGATGTATTGATTTCTTATCGGAACATGGAGGACTTTGTGACCCGACATATTTAACATGCATCATTCACCTTTTACTACACGTGGAGACTACTGCCGGCGGGGATCGGACCAACGATCTCTTCGATATGGGCCCAGTGCCCTACCAACCAAACTATCCCGGCCTTACTTTTTATTATGTTTGTAACCTTCTCTTATTCTCTGACTTCAGTGCATTCATTTTTCTGATTGTCATTACACATACAACAGTGAAACCTCATTCTGCAGGCACTTCTCCAGGTCAGACACCTTCCATTATAGACAATTTTCAAAATTTCCGTAAGCCCAATTAGAATAAACCATTATATACCCTCCCAATGATTCGTCACTTTCTTTACTGTGCCTGAACTACAATTTGCATGTGAAAAAACTCTTATAAGCCCTTTCAAAGTGGTTTCTTTGCATTTTAACACAAATTTTACATAGGTGTAAGGTTTTTAAAAAAAGGGAAAATTTTTGTGTGGTGATGTAAAGAAGGATATTGAAGAGACAACATTTCTGGATTTTGACTAATTATTGCTCACATTGATCTTAAAATGTCCAACAATACTTTACTATAGTTATTTGGTGTAAAAAACATGATTTCAGATATCATGTTACTAACTTAAATGTCAAATTAAAGGAGGAAAAAGTTTTCATTTTGCTGCTGCTGTTTCTGAACTCTTCTTGTGCAATAGTCCAAAGAAAATATCTTAGTTACGATACTGTTAAAATCATTACATGGATCTTAATTTGCGCTGAATAACTAAGACACTTGGATCTTTTAAATAAAAATAAAATTTTGTTTCAAACTTGAATTGAAAATGTGTCGCAAATATCTGATGAACCAAACTTATTTAAAACGAACTACAGTTAGATCTTTTTTTCTCTATTGGATCAATGTAATGCTTAGTGCTTAGAATTTGATTTCTGTTGGTAGTATTACATTTGTGCACAGTTTTCTTTGAATTTTAAAAATTATAGCTTTTTTTTTTGTTAGTTTAAATTTATTTTACTATCATTTTATTTATCTAGAACTGTTTACAGTATTGAGTTTCTCAATTAGAGTCTCCCACTCCCTAACGAGTATTTTTCTCAGTCCCTGCTTTATAAATGTTTCACTGTATTTATCTTATTTTTATGAAGTAAATATATTATAGAGGTTATATATTATGAATTTTTTTCTTTTTAGCTTACTTAATCAAAACAAATTGAAAAAACAATTTATTATTCCCATTAGCAATGATGTTTGTCGTTTATATACAAAAAGAACAGTATCTACCAGTATTTGTTTTATATGGAGTGAATGTTTTACTCTTTTATATAATAATTTTGTGATTTAACTTGCTACATTTTTTTTCTCAGTCTTTCAAAAGCTAAATTTTATTTTTAGAAAACATACTCTCTTTCTTTAAATTTAATTATTCAATATGTTTAAAATTTAGAAATGATCGTTATAAAGATAATTAAATTAATTTTTTAATGCATTTTATCAGCTGTTTCAGTGAGTCCGCTAGGCTTTAGAAAGATGAGTCCTTAAAACCCAAGATTTCTGGGCATCTTTTTACTAAAAGCAGGTCTCTATTTCAAATAAAAATTCTCTTTCCCTTTATCATCATTATAATTCATAATTATTCCACTATTATGAATTTAAATGGTAAATGGACAAAGCAGAAAAAGTTATATTTGAACAATCAAGGTTTTTCATTGGTGCAAATAAAGCTACACCAAGTAAAAGAAACAATGTAATTTGATACTTTGAATTAATCTAATTTTCTTCTTTAGCTAATAAAAAAAAAAGAAATGAATATTTTTTGTATACATGTTTAAAGTTTGGTTACAATTTTACCTACATAAATCTACTGGCACGGTGTTTTATTCCTGCTCTGGAGAATTGTACATTTACTGGGATGCATAATTCACCTTCTTAATTTAAAGAATCTGGTTTGAAACATAAGAATCTTAATTCTGTTGTTGAAAATTCTGTAATGACCTTTTTTAACATTTAATTGAAAAATAATTACCGTATTTTTCGGCGAAAGCGCCGCTTCGTCGCAAGCGCCACACCTCGATAAAAATGAAATTTTTTAAAAAAAAATTATAGTAAGAGCCGCAATGGCACTAAGCCGCACATGTCAGCATCCTTTTAGAAGAGACCTTTAAATTACCATTTAGAATATCTGTATGATAAAAAATTAAATTTTTTTATGCATTTCATAAAGTAAAGTTTTAATTTCTAAGTTATAATAAAAAATTTCTTTTTCAGCAAAAAAAAAAGCTACAAAAAAAGTTTTCTCTTTCAGCAAAAAGAAAAAGAAAACAACAAAACTATATAAAATAAAGTTGTTCTTACCAGTTGGCACCGCGCCAAAAAACAGAAGAACAGCAAAAAAAATATTTATATGTTCAGTAGCTGAATTAAGGCTGAACTGATTACAGAAATCCGTAAAACAACGTAATAAGAAAAATAAATTAAAAATTTATTAAAAGAAAGATTTTAAAATTTATTACCCTTAAGAATTTGAGAAGAAACTAATACATAATAACGAAACAGCTAATAATAACGAAATAACTAATAAAAACAAGAATAAGAAATAACTAAGCAGGCCCCAAAAAAATTCTGAAGGAATGTGCGAAGGGGAAATAAGTTTCACTTTCACAATCTTTGAGGGTAGAATTTTAGTGGGTAGAATGCCTTCTCCTTCAATGGAAATAACCCAATGTGACTCAACTTAGGAAGAGAGAAGAAAATGTTTGAAAGAGTGGTGCACTCCACCTCCTCCACGTGTCATTTCTATAGGAGCTGTTTAGGAGGAATCAATCAGTTATATTTTAAAGGGGTTGGGGAAAAGAAAAGGGTATGGGACCCCTAATCCAGCATTTCAAAATTCGGCACTTAATCTGATCTAATCTTTTTCGTTTTTTCTTTTAAGAAATTTATATTGATAAGACAAAAAAAATCAGCTATATTCTTTTTATTTGGAATTTTATTCTGTTGAAGTAACTTACTTTATTTTATCTTTTAAAAATAAAAGAAACTTGAAAAAAAAATTAATAAATCTGTATCAAAGGAAACATCTGTTTCTAAAGCAGTTTAAAATAAAGTGAGAAGTAAAAACGCCTGAATTTCCAATGAACAAAATAAAGAAATGGAAGTTGGAAAAAACTGATCAATCAATCTTGACAGCTGTGCTTGTGCTTTACTGATTTGCCCCCAAATTTCCCTCCTCTGTTTGACCATAAATTGGCCACACCCAGTTGACATTGAAACTACCACATGGGCAATAAAATGAATTTATCCCTTTTGCGGTTTTTTATTCGATTCATAAAATTTTTTTACTTTGCCACTTTTTATTTTTTCTTGTTAATTGTTGCTTGCTTGTTTTTTTTTTTTTTTTTTTTTTTTTTTTTTTTTTTTTTTTTTTTTTTTTTTNTTGTTTTTTGTTGTTATTCATTGTTAGTTTCTTAGCATTTAGTTTTAAAAAAAATTTTTTGTAGTTCCCTGTTAGCTTTTTTTTTTTGTTCTTGCGAGGTAAGCGTCTTTTGTTAAAACAAAATGTTATCTAAAAGAAAAAGCGAGAACTATGATCTCGCTCCAAAGAAGAAACGATTATTTCTTCTTCATAGGATTCTGATTATTTCTTCTTGATTATATTATATAGATTATTATTTTGATTAGTAAAATTTCTCTTAAGATGGGCCAGTTTTAATTTCACACCATCATAATCTACGATCGAAATTTGACTAAATTTATTGGTTTTTCTGAAATTAACAGTGGAATTGAATTATAGTAATATTTGGGGGCTATATTGGAATTTCCGAAAGAGATCCGAAGTTCGGCATTTCGTCAGTCCCGTGAGTGTCGGATTTAGGGTCCTATTCTTCCTTTTCTGTTTGCTTAAATTACAATTGCCAAGGCGCTAAATAGATTTCTAGCTTGCGATTTTTCCTTAAGCTGGGGGTGGATACAAGATGCATACCTTTTAAATTTTCTCCTTATGCGATGTTTTTTTAAAATTATTACTTCGTTTATTTATTTTCTTACAGGCTGCTGCCGAAAGTTTGCTAAGAATTGGCGATGTTCTGCAGCAGATCGCGATACGGGCGAATATTTCGTCGACTTCTTTATTATTTTTTTTAATAGTCTTTCTCTCTGAAAATTATTTCATCTTAAATAACTTTGCTTGACAAATCTTTTTGCTACAAAAAATATTTCGTCGGAAGCGCCGCTTGTAGGGAAAAAAAACTTTTTTTCGATAGCGCCACGGCTCTTCCGCCGAAAAATACGGTACTAAAATGAAATACTGAAAAAAACATATAGTGGTGTTTTTCTGAGTTTTCCATAAATTGGATGACAGAATGTGGAAGTGGGTAAAAACATTCTCCAGCCTTCTACTCATCTAGTTTGCCATGGTTGTAACTATACAATTATTAGTGAAGAATAAATAAGTAATGCGAAAATTAGAAACTTTTTTTTTAGCAATATTGTTTCTTTTAAACATATGTTGGTTTGTGGGTTTTTTAGGCACCTGAATATAAATCACCAATATCTAGCAGGCTTCAGAAACCTATTCAAGCATGTTCAAGAAATTTTTTTCAAACTCCAGCTATGAAGCGTCAAAATATAAATTTTTCTCATGAATCAGAGCCAGGAATCAGTTTGCATTCCATAATAACAGAGTATCTAAGAAAACACCATTCCTTGTGTAGGAACCCTATGCTTGCCTGTCCTCCATTTGATTTGTTTACGTAAGTTTAAAATGCTTGTTTTATCAAACTCTTGGAAGCTATCAAAAGGTTTTGATTATCATGCTTTTTTTTTTATTCTTTAGTCCTCATAAGTGTCCAGAGCCTCAAAATAGAAGAAATGCACCTATTAATTGTGTAAATAGAATATACAAAAAACAAGTAATGTCTTCTAATTTTGTTTCTATATTCTAGAATATATATAATATTGTGTTTGGGTATTGTAAAAGATTTTTAAATTCTAAAATGCTCTTTATTTATTTTGCACCCATTTTTATCAGATTCCTGTTAATAAACGTTTCAGTACAAAACTTCAAATTTTCTAAGAGGTAGAGGATAATCACTAAAGATGTAGAATGCCACTATTCTTTGTTATAAATTCTTAATCAATTTAAATTTTTTAACCTATTATTTTATGAAAGATCTATCCCTTTCATTTCAAACGAAGGGTAAATTTTTTATACAAAATCATTGGTCTTCATTAGGAGCACAGTTCATTATAATAGATATTTTTTATTCAGAGTATTTTGCAATTGCTATCATTATAAATAAATTTTTTTTAAATGGTTGATATTGTGTCTAACTTGTATCAACAACAAGCTTGGACAGTGACAAAACTGGAGGAAAATTGTATCGCAATATTTGAGAGAAAGATTTTGCGGAGTATACTTAGTGGTGTAAATGAAAACAATAACTAGAGAAGGACATTTAACTTTGAACTGTACAAGATTTATAAACAACCTGATATTATTAAGTACATAAAAATAAATGGAATGAATTGGATCGCCCACGTTTTTCGAATAAGTGAAGACAACACAATAAAAGATACTGCTTTTACACCCACTGGAAAAAGAAAGCGGGAAAGGCCTCGGTTGAGATGGGCTGACTCAGTAGAGTCTGATTTTCTTGCAATTAATTAAAAGAATTGGAGATCATAGATAAATCGGAAGTCGTCATGGAGAAATCTTCAGAGGATAGATTCGAATAGCATAGATTTGAGCATAGATTCGAATGTGTCAACAACGTTCGAATCTATGTTTGATTATATGCTCAATATATTCAATTTTCCACATTTCTGATATGTTTGATAGTTTGTACTTGTTTTACCATTAGATTTATTGTTTGTAGGTTTTGTTCTATATTTTGCAGATATGTTCTACATCTGCTTTTAGTTATAAAAAAAAAAAAACAATTTTTTGTCATTAATTTTTAAAAACTTTTTTACATTAACATGTTGAAAAATTTAATGTCCCACAAAATTATAGCCTCAACGTAATTTTCTTTCATTATTAAAGAAATAAAACATTTATGTTTTCTCCATTAGAACTCACCGATGTACAGTCAGCAAAAAAAAAAAGATATCACCCTGAATAACTTTCGTTCTAATGATCAGATTTTCACGAACTAAGTGTTAATCTTAATGGTTCTTGGGGGTGACCTCAAATATGCTAATTAATTAGTGCTAACTATTAATTAAGTTACGAAATCAGACACAAAAACGTACTAGTTATTTTATACCTT